AAATTCTTATTTTAAAAATGTATCTTTTAATGTAATGAGTATTCAAAGTGGTGTTGTATGGCTAGACTTTCTAAAATTCAAAAATACTTACAAATGTTCTCCATTGGCCTGTAATATGGAGCAGGCTTTGCGTTATTGAGGTAACTCAAGGTGTTTCACTTCCTACCAAAGCTTACTTCTCCAGACTAGGATGTCTTAAAAGATCGGGGGATATTGATTAGGAAAAACCCTTTTCTGGTCGATTGTTCCAACACTTGAATCCAAGTTCAGTGGAGAGGATTTGTAACTGGGAACTGTGGGATCATATTCCTCTGGGTTGAGAGTCTTGGGATCTTAGGTGGAGTATATCTTAGACCAGTGAACTAAACTGAAGCACTGATGCAGGCATTGTACCAGACTGTCATGCTAAAATGAGAGATGATCTGAAAGGTGAAATCCATCTACATTCCAACCCTCATCCGTGGTTATGAGATCTGGGAAAATGACAGGAAGACTAAGCGGCACATGTCTCCCTTCAGAGGTTTTGCAGGGATACTCAGCTCCGAGGAATCCCTGGAGTAGACCCAGAATGCGCTGGAGAAATCATATGTATGCATATATCATCTGACCTGTGAACACCTCAGGACCTCCCACAAGGAACTAGAAAGGATTGCTGGGAGAAGAACGCCTGGAATACTGTGCTTTAGCCTGCTGCCAATGTGGGTGGATAGATTTCTTGTTTGGCTTCAAATAGTCTCAACTTTATTGATATAGTAGCTTTTGCTTAAAGGTCACACATATTTAAACAGCACTTAATACTATTCTTCTCAAAGACATTCAGACTGCAGCAGCTGTGTTGCTTTTACTTATATTATGTTGTATTAAATGTTTGCTAGATGTTTCCAGTTGGTCAGCTGCTCCTGTGGCTACTTTTTCATGTAAACATACGGGTAGCTAAATTGATGAACGTTGGGGAAACGACCTTTATGCTCAGCCTGATTTCGGCTGATAGGATAAATGAAGCTGGATAAATATATCCTGAATATGTTGAAGTACGTTCACCCTATTTGGTACAAGCCCCAGGCCAGCAGCAGGGTTTAGTTCACATTTACCTCACTGTTTGCCATCATAGGGTGAGAAACATTTGGTTCCCCAAACCATACTTATTTAGCACGTGATTTAGTCCTGCATGGTTCACCAGCAACATGCTGAATGTTAAAGTTAATGTAGCTGTCTATGTGAAGGGTGGGAGCAGGCCCTGTGGTAATGGCCAATAAACTCCACAAACTTAATGTGAGAAAAACAGCTAGAAAAATAAAAGCTACGAGGAATCAGCAGGTTGTTGCTTGGAAGTAAAACTATGTGCAAGCATCCTCAGCTGAGTGTGAAGTTCCTCTAAACCTCTGAGACGGCGATGATGTGCCGCTCAGGAGCAAAACACCCTGACGGCAAAAGCTCATGTTCTGCTGCAGCTTAAAGAGATAAAGTGGAAATAACCCATCGCTGGGCCGAGGAAGGGAGACAAAGATGTAGGAAGAGGGGGAGAAAAAAAGGTAATGGAAAACATGTAGGACTTTTGAGTGAAAGAAAGATTAAGAGTTGAACTTGTGGGAGAATAAAGGTGGAGATGCAGAGATAAGGGGATCAGAGGGAGGCAGCCCGGCAGCGATTGGGTCTGTATATGTTTCGCTCTCTGACTCTACATGTCAAATGGGTCGGACCTGCTTTTCTCTCCAGGGGCCTGGAGTTTGCCTTTCTTTCCGCCCCTTAATTTCCAGCAGAGCGTAGTGTGTGTCTGTGTGTGTGGTGGGGTTTTGTGGTGGGGTTTTTTTAAACTTTGTGTGTGTGTGTGTGTGTGTGTGTGTGTGTGGTGGGGTTTTTTTAACTTTGCAATAGGGGATGATTCAGTGGGTCTGCTGCAGTTTACCCTCGGCAGGATTAGAGCTGGAAGCTGTCTTATTATCTTCCACCGTTTGAGCTCTGTCGTCTGTTAGAAAGAGCAGTGGAGCTTAAGACAAATTACCCCCTCAGTGTCTTTCGGATGGCATGGCTTCGGCCTGGAAATGGCCTTGGGAGAGGCTGGCAGTGGGGCAAATGGGAAGGAGGAGGCGGCCTGTGAATGGAAGAGGCTGGAGGGATTGTTAGTTTAATTTATGCTGCAGAACAAGGCAAAGTGTAGAGGAGGGCACTGAGGAGGAAAGAGACTGGAAGACATGAGTTTTATGTGCTGACAGATGTTTTTGACTGCATATTTATAGTGAGAAGTGATGGAGCGTCCTTCTTGTCTTTGAAAACAAAGCCCCTTACCTCTGAAAGATGTTATTGTTTTCTTAAATTCTTGACGCCAGAAGTGATTGGATTTTGACAAGTTGTGTGGTAATAGAGTAGCTAGCTTTACTAGACAGTAAATTTGTTACTTTATTTCTATATGTTTGCCACTTTTTCTCAAATAAAAAAAACAAAAGAGAAAATTTTGAATTTTGTTCCTGTTAATTTACCCCTCCTCGGGGAGTCCCTTAATAATCTGTTATTATTTTTGCCACAAATGGCTGTTTCTGTCATTAAATCTGAATCTTGAGTAGCTTTGGCGTATTAGAGTTATAACCTCGATTTGGCGTTGTTTACATTTTTTCATCCACTTTCAATGCTTGCTAATTATTTCTGTATGCGGCAGCTATTTAGCCACTACCTCAAAGTCTGCACTGGATTGTCGCGATAGTTTAAAACACTTATTTTGAAGCAGAGATATGATGCAAGATAGGGAAAGAACAAAAAATTTGGAAACCCTTTGTTGAGTGCTGAATGCTGAAACAAAGAGTGACAAATTAGAGAAAACCCCCGCTGTGTAATTGAAGCATTCTGCTCAGTGTGAAGAGGACATGAATTCATTCAAGTTTAAATTTAAATCCGAGAAATATTGCAGGCTCATCTGCCGTGCAATTTCACTGTTGAGTGCCACCCAGCAAGTAAGCCAGAGCCACTGATTTCAGTTATTTCTGTTATTTGTTTTGACAACACAAATGGAAATTTTAAAGTAGTGGAAAATACCTTGAGGTGTAGATTATCACTTTCTCCTTTCTCTCAACGTCCACTTCTTGATTTCCCTTCATCTTCCTCCCTCCTCTTTAGTTTTGCTTCTCCTTTCTCTTCATTTTGATTGACATTAGCAATTCAGTGGAGCCTCTTGTTTATAATTGATTGATTTCCCATTGGCAAATATTCCATTCGTTCATGTAAACGTTACAGTGAGAGCAATCAGATGGAACGATTTTTGAGGCTGGAGGCTCAGGTACAGCAGGCGGTGTGTGGGATGAGCTTTTAATCAGTGCCGAGCATTATCGCTGCAAAACAAAATAAGTCAAGCAAATTAAGCGCTTTGAGAGAAACTGTAATGAAAAGCGAATCATCTGCAGCAACACTTTAGAGGACAATTTAGCATATGATTGCAACTTTAAATAGCTGCTTTATCTTCTCAGGGACTTACACTTCTGTCACACTTCGGGGGACTGCATAATGCTCCTCGCCGCCCAAAGAAGCAGTTTATTATTCCAAATTACGCTGACAAAGATGCTCAGAGAGGAACTTTTTGTTGTCTTCCTCATTCCACTGTTATCGTCGCTTCACGGGGCATGTTTACAAAAAGATTGCTCCCTGCAAGTCTTGTTCTGACCACTGGCACAAGCGTATTTATGATGTGGACTGAATTCACCCGTCTTTTCTCTTCTGCTTATCCTTATCATGGTCGTGTGGTCGTTTCTCAGCTACCATAGGCTAAGAGACGGGGTACACCCTGGGCAGAAAGAACCAGACAGAACCCTGGAACCATGAGGAGAATGTGCAAACTAACATGCTAACCACTGTGCCACCGTGCTGCCCGGGCTGGGCTCAATTCAGTTTTATTTAAACTGTGTCATCTCAAGGTAAATTGGAATTGAAAGTATGCAAAAATGTTGTAGAGGGGAAACCCACAGACCCAACATATGTGATAGAGGAAGGAGGCAGCCATCTGCAGGTGACCTAACTATCTCAGATATTGAACCTACACCTGCAAAGATGACTACAGAAAAACACAAGGAAAGAGGCTGGTCAGAAACCTGTATGCCACTGCACTCCAGCATGATGTCACAGTTTAGAAAGTTTTCATTGGAAGTCGCTTCTCAGATTCTTTAGTACATTAACTGTCAACCAACCAAACTATTTTATTGACAGAAATTACACATCAGGGTCATTTACAATGCTCTAATATTCTTTCAAATGTCTCTATTAGTATTTATACTATACTACCAAATTAATATAAATACTATCTAAATTATTGTAATTTAATTAATTATAGCCTTTAATCATTTTTAGCATTCCGCTAGATCTTTATACCAAACTTGACTGAAAGTGGACCTTCCTCCAAAAGTTACCACCTGTTTGTCCAATCAAACAGTCACAGAGATCAGCATCAGAGGGTAATTGGGCCTCAAACATTGTGCCCTTAAAATCCCTTAAAGTAGCCTGTCCTGCATGCCTGCTTTAGTTTTATTTAAGGGTATCTCTGAAATTGATTCTAGCTTTCTTGGCCGTGAAAATACAGTATAGTGATTACAAATTAGAACAATACAAAAATAGTAAAAGACTGAGATTATTGCAATTAATTTCACAATAGTACACAGAAATATAGCTTAAATCCTAAATGACCCCACCCAGCCACTTGGTTAATGGTTCCAATCGAGAAACCAGAAAATTGCTGGACAATGGAGTGATGGATTTACAAGAAAAAAACTTTATGTCAAATTATGAGAGGAAAAAAAAAGTGATTTTAAAGGAAGAGAAAAATATGTGAGGAAAAAAAACTGCAACTTTGTGAGAAAAAAACCCTTCAAATTATGATAGAAAAATGTGGCAACTTTATAGTGATGGATGCAAATGACAACAAGAAGAAAGCAGCAAAGGCATTTGATGCAAAAACTGACAAATATACAAGGAAAACATTGAAAATGTATGAGGATGCAGAAAAAGTCCCCCCCCCCCCCTCAAAATTTGAACCTAACTAGAAAATGAGAAGAGTGGCAATTTCCCAAGGGAGACGCAGGCAACTTTGTGAAAAAAGTGGGATATTTAGGAGAAAAAGACAGCCCTCATTTGATACGCCCCTTTTAAAAGAGCTAAGATGGTGATGTCAGATGTTCAGAATGGGACTTGACACACCAGTGAATGACATCATGGTGGATACTTCCACCGTTTTTTAAGAGACTCATGAAAGATTAGCTGACACTTGTTTGTTCCACAGGTTTTCTTTTCAAATGTGCACATGGAAGAGTCCAGACCAGGACTTGCAGAGACTAGACAGAACGTCCTGCCTTTAGTCATGCAACTCTTCATTTATTGGACTCTGCACTGCATAATGGGAGATTGTGCAAGTCAGAATTACCCACTGAGCCTCAGTGCACAGAAACAAAGAAACATGAAGACCAGAAGGCAGGCAACACCCATTTTTGACTTTTTATTACCAAGAATACAAAATATATCTACATTCACATACCACTTACTGTAGCATGACTCACAACATAGATTTCAAGTAAACTCCATCCAATTGAATTATCAAAATCTACCTCCACATCTCTCCCAGTTTGGAAAATCCTTTTGGTGTTTGTGTGTGATTTACGTTTTTTTTTTTTATTCTTTCCTTCTTCTAACATGTCTTTCATTTGTCCTTTTTACAGTTGGCACTTGATGCAGGTTCTCAATGTCTCTGTAGTCCACAGGATCGGAGGATTAAGCCACATTTGTGTGGGGACAGAAAAGCAACACGGTATCTCTAACAGGACAGATCAAGCCTCGTTGCCACCAGACTCCGGCTGGCACGGCGGTGGATCCAAAATGAAAGGCGACTCGGTCGGGCGTTTGTCCACGTGTAGTCCTTTCCGCTGTGCCACATGTCTCAGATGAGATTCAAACATCCACTAAGACAAATCCAAGATTTTATTTCATTTTTTTAATAAAATGCTTCCCTCTCATCCTAATGAATGGATACCTGCTTTATGTTTTGGAGTTACAATACAAAGAGCTTAAAAATGGTACAAAAACAATAATACAGTAAACATATTAACTCTGAAACCCCACATGGGACTACGACATCGCCGTCTCCGCAGCACGTCATGTGACATTTAGAGATGCAGCTTCTCACACGGATTGAAAACAAAGGCAGTTACATCATGTATGTTACAACGTATGCGTGATCTTTTGAAGATTTCCTCGCATGGCAGAGGCTTAAAGTACAGTCTCGGCTTGAAGGACCCAAATAACTTAGCAGAACATATAAATACAGCAAGTGGAACAAAGAAATAAATTAAGACCTGCCACGGATGGAACAAAAATACGACTGCAGCAACGACTCCTCGCTTTGATTCTTCAAGCCCATCTCTGGCATAAATTGCTCGGCGTCTTGAATCGAAGGGGCTCTGCCTGTGGCTGGGTCAGGCAGTTGAAGTTGGTGTGTGCTTTGAAGCCGTTCCTCAGCTTGGCCCCCAAGAGGCTGCCAGATTTGGCCTGCCTCTGAAGCCCGTCTCTGGGGTAGATTTAAAACCTGCTGCAGGCCTTCAAGGCTGTGGAGAATAGAGGCTTCGGCAGGATTTTGATTTCTAACAGTCATGGATGTGGCCATGAGTACATCTCAGCTTTGTTGTTGTCACTTCTTGGTTGTTTCAGTCTCTTTTAAAAAAAAAATATTTTCATACGTCCGTTTGTAAAGGAAAAGGCCCTGTCGTCCTACCACAGTGGAGGACTGTTTGTCTCCAGCACGCCGTACATCTCAGCAAGTTTTTTAAAGCGAGGCCCCCAGTCATTCAGGTAGTCATACTCATGGTCGGTGTTTGAGGTTCCAGATTGCAACGAGCTGAGGGACTCCGCGACAGAGCCTTCCCCCTCGTAAGCGTACGTCTGCAGGGAGTCGTAAGGCGGGGCGCACGGGTCCATGTCGGCTTCCAGGAGCTTCGCCAGCACGTATCCGTGAACATTGCTGTCCCCGCTGCCGCCGCCCATGACACATGCCTGAGGGACGTATCGGGACAGGCTTTCAATCTCCGGCAGCATGTCCTGTCTCATCTTGCCCGGATGGTGGTGCGCCTCACGAGGGTTCCACATGGCGGCGATGTCGAAGGCTTCGGTGTCCTCCTCGCCACCGCCTTCATCGTCATAGCGCACGATGTTCTCATGCACGTTCTCCTCCTCGTCACACAGGTAGGGCTTCTTACGATGGGTCCGCAGGGAAAGCATGAGCAGGATCATCACTGTTATAAAGGGAAAAAATGAATGAGTATAGAGGCCATAAGGAATCAGTGCTTTAAGTAAATGCTGTGACAGACACGGTTATTCATTTTTAAAATTCTTGGTGTTTTAATGTTAAAATGTAAAACCAAGCCTCGACCTCTGCAGCTACAAACCAACAATTGAAGTTCTAGTGGCTACTCCCATCTTTTATATACAGTCTATTATAGCTACTCATGGCAAAAGATCAAGACCCGGGTTTTCAAACATAAGGCGGGGGTCCAGAAAGGCTACAAAGCTACAAAGCTAGATGGCTTTGGAATATTTGAAGGAGTGCATAGATTTTTTACTTTTATAATAAGGAGTCAACTTACTTATTCACATCTATGAATAATTAACTAACTCTGGGAATAGGAGCAAGTATAAAAACATTACCAACTGATACAAAGCTCAAATAAAGATATTTTTAGAAAACACTATTTCACAACCCTTCAGCTCAAATGCATCAACAGTGTTCAAGAAGAAACGCTTGTGCCATCAAAACCAGAATTACTGCATCTACGAGGAAAAAAATAAAATTCACAAGAAGGCGAGCAAGGATGTTTTAAGAAAATTTACTGCTGCCTGTCAGAGCAGCAGAGCGAGTCAACCTGCTGAGCCCTTCTACCCGCAGCTACAGGTCTGCAGGGAGAGATAAAGCGGGTCCGTATCGTCCCCTGGGGAACTGAAAGTGTGATGCTACAGGGCAGCTGGTGCTAATGAATGCTAGACTTTCTGCGAGGGTGAGAAAATAAATCCATATTTAATCCTACAATGCTGATGTCACACTGGGAGATGCCTCCTTTTTTGCAAACAGACTTTTTAGCCTTCGGCTGTTGTGTTGTGTCACGTCTTGGGTGATCTAAGATCTCTCGGCAGGCTGCATATTTTGCGCACTTTGCTTTTTAAGTTCAGCTTCAGGGTTGATTACCTTCTTCAGAGGGGGTATCACAAATATTTAAAGTAGCACACCGACTCGCTGAAAGGTCAGGGTGTAAAACAAAGTGCGGCAGTGATTTTAATCACGGCCCGCTCCTACCCCTGAGGCTTGCCCTCAGCTGGTTCTTTCACATCCTACAACAGGAGATTAAAATGTGGTCTGACTTGGAAAATGTTTTCCAGCCACATATTCCAGCAGTTTACGGCAGCTGCATGATGTCTTTCTGCATTTGTGCACTTCACGTTTGACCTGTCAATCAGACAGGCGTCCAAAATGAGACGAACCGTGAAGATTTCGGTGCAGAAAAAGGTTCTCGTCGTGCTGGGTTTCCAACATGACATTCACAGTTTGTGCAGAGCATGATTGGACAAATCAGGGACAACTGTTTCACCAATGTTTTTCTTTTTTAAAACAGCGATTGCAGGACTCCAGGATAAAACCACAAAATGGAGACCAAAAGCAACATTTTATAAATATTCACAAGTATTAAACATGCCTAACCCTTATCCCTTTAAATCTCACTTGTTACACAGGACACTTCAGGGTAAGTATAGTGGAAGGTTTTACTACAGATTCTCAGTGCTTTGTCCTTTAATTTCAGGTAGGTTTAGGTCATGTGGAGATACAGAAATTCTTTTATTGCTGCCATATAATCTGCATCATTATAATTGCATTAATAACATTCTTTACAGCATTATTTCATCTAATAATATTTCTCACAGTATTGATACTGCATTACAGTTGTTTATTGAAGATGTTCATTTGAGGATCCTTCCATTATGTTAACTTTTATTACAAGTACGGTTAGAAGTATTTTACACACATTGCATATCTGTGCTTATTTTGAGTTGATGTTCAGTTCATTAAGGGTCTTAAGCTTCACTGGTGTGACTGTCCAGGTGATACATGCTGAGGGAGACTAGAACATAGAAGGATGACTGCATGCATGCTTACAATACATATAACACATATAATCTAGGAATGTGCCAGGCCTGAGGCCTTAACTCATTTGGTGTCTTAATATATTTTATTCTACTTGGTAACAGACGATCAGAGTCAATAATTAGCCTCAGAGACCCTGAGGGCTTGAAGTTTATTACCTTGTATGGAAGGTGTTATAGAAAAGAGAAGTTCTATGTCTGCTTATAGCTATTAAAGATGTACGATTAACGGTGACTAATGTCTGGAACCTATTTTAATCTGTCATTGACGCCATGGGGGGGCGTGTACCCCACTGGTTTATAAGTATCCACAAGATGTATTTTGGTCAGAGGACATATGTTGATGTTTTCTCCGGGCTGTTAATAAACTCATCGTTTGATTGCACTTTTCTGGGGCCTCCGTGGTTTGTGACACTGCTCTACATTGATTGATTTCGCGACAGTCATTAATCTGAAAACAGCGGCTGATGTTAACTATGACTTTTCTGAATAAAATCACACTACTGTCACAGAGCTTGTTATATTTTCATATAAACAGGTTCAAAAAGACAGCTGAAGACAGAATCGCTTTATATTGCTTTAAGTTAAACACCCTACAATATACATCTGATGACTGTGGGGAGGAAGAACTCAGAAAAAGGTCCGCTGGTGGTTTCTAACAGAAAGAAACCACCAGCGGATCCAGGCTCAAGGACAAATGTGACAAAACACAAGCTACAGGCATTCATTGTGACATATAAACATAAAGACAGCATAACTAAGCAATGGTTGCTTATGCAGGTTGTCTGCATTAGCTCTGTTTTGTCCACCCAGTGTAAAACATGCTTTGTTAACGCTGTCCATGTCAACCCAGAGGATTTTTATAAAAGAGATTCTTATTCTACTTTTAGAAAATATACAAGTAAGACTGTAAATGGAGATGGATAGTTTCTTCTATAAACCGTAAACCAGTATAATTGTCATGAAAGAGAAATTTCACTATAGATAATAAAATCTTGTTTTGTAGCAGACTGTAAATATGCTTAAAATTTGGCATGTTAGCATGGAAGTCTAAGGCCATTGGTTCTTGTCTTATGGAGCCAACCTCAAGTGGCCATTGCAGGAACTGCAGTTTTTGGCACTCTCTTTATATTAAAGCTCAAACGTTCGTTCCCTTTAATATGTAAGAATAATAAACCATGTAGGGCAGCAGCACTTATGTGTGTCACCTAAACTTAGGCTTTGTGAGCTTTTAGCTGACACGGTTATTTGCACATCATCGTAACAGCAGCTCACCCAGCAAGACGAAAATGCAGGCCAGGATGGCGATCAGAGCCCCCCTGCTGAGGCTGGCGGGCAGGCTGTAGGCCTCAGCGTTGCATGACATGACGTTGCCCTCCTGGTCGCAGCTACACACACGTATAGTCAGCGTGCTGGTGCTACTCTGAACCGGCTGCTCACTGTCCGAGATGAAAATGGGCAAATAGAAGACGGTCTGGTCTTGCTGTGACCAACCGCCACGGCGAGTCAGGATCCACGCTGTGTTGTCTGGAAGCGAATACAGAGGTCACAAAAAGATCAAGTTAGTGTTCAGAAATACAACAATAAGATGCTTAGTGTGAGGTAGCTGATAGCAGCAGGGTTACATGTATGTGCTGCATTCAGGGTAACTGAACACGCGAAGGGGTCATGGGATGCTGGTGAGAATTGAAGACGAGCACAGCTGTGAACAGGAAATGTCGACCGAAGCTACTAAATATCACACCTATTACTCACAGAGGCTTATTTCAAGACACTGATCTTTACTGTCAATATATAGCAGGAAAAAAGAGTTTTAATAGCCTCACATACATTTGATCATCTCCCACGGTTTCTACAGCTGTTACTGTAGTTAAAATTATGTATTAAATATCCTTTAGTGCAATATTTCTGTCTAGCCTGAGGGAGAAAAAGTTAGCAAAATTATCTGATTGTTCTAAATTACTATAAATATAATTCTGCTTTGCATTCCCTTCCCCACACTCCTAGAATGTAATTATAATGGAGAAACACTGAATCCTTCATTATATTTTTTATTAAGTAAATGAAGATATTTGAGAAGAATCATCTTTAACAATATCAAGAACATGAAGATTCATAAGAATGTGAATTGTGTGTTTTAATGAAAGGAATTAAAAGTCCTTAGCAAGTTCTAAAATTTGATAAATACAAACTCAGATGAACTACAGCACATGACACTTCATATTTGCATAACTGATTTAGGAAAAATGAAGCCAAAATGCAGCATGTGTGGTGAATACTAAGTATACCCAAAGAGGAAAGACATCTGCAATGATCTTATAGAAGCAACAATCGCTGGACATTAGTCTGGAAAAGTTACACAATCTTTTTCAAACAATCTGAAGTCATTCTGCAATGAGAGATTCTTCATAAGTGGAAGTTGACATCCCAGCAAACTCAACCCAAGGTCAGACTCTGCAATGCTTAAAGAAACTGAGATGTAGCTCTTGGGTTTTTAACAATTTGTACAGGTGTCAGTTAGCATGCTATATGTTAAAATTCTGTTACAACTAGGAGAAGACGGAAGATGGTTAGTTTGCCAGGGTTGCCAGGTATAGGCCTGTTCTCTCTAAAAAACAACATGGCAGCATGGCTTAGGTTTGCAAAGTTGCATCTGAACAAACCACGAGACTTCTGCATTAATGTCCTCTGGACAGAAAAGACCAAAGTGGAGATGTTTGGCTATAATGTACAGCAAGTACCAATCACAGCATGCCAGCACTAACGCCCCATACCAAGTGGTGAAGGGGTGATGAGTTGGCACAGGCACAGGACCTGGCCACCTTACAGCAGTTGCGTTGACCATGAACTCCAGAGTATCTGCCTCCACTTCCAAGTATTCTAGAGCCAGTTTTGAGACCATATGTTTGGCAGTTTCATTGAAACTGAATCATGCAACAGGACAATGATCCCAAACACAGCAGCAACTCTACAACAGACTGGCCGAAAAAAGAAGCGGTGTTATAGTGTAGTTTTTGTTAAAAAAAAAACACACATGCTGCAGTTCATTTGAGGTTGTATTTTAATAATAATTTAAAAATTTTGACTTGCAGATGATTTTGAATTATGTCCTGATTCGTAAGACCTTAGAACAGAAGGAAGCTGTACTTGCTTTTTACCACGACTGCATTAAAATGTAAAAACCATGAATATTTACTGCTGGGCTGCATACTTCCATACTACATATTTTACTGTGGATGCTGCTCTTCCATAGATAAGGAGAAACAGCGATCTTATTTTACTGGTCCAACTCACTAGAAATCAAATTAGCCTGCATGGAAAACTCGTGCATGACACAGAACCGTGACTGAACGTGTACCTTGGTTATCTTTCAGGGTGAAGTTAGGGTTGTTGACGGCCTCTGGAGCCAAGCTGTAGTAGAAGTGCTGCCCACCAAGCGGCTCGTCTGGATCTACTGCTGTCACGGTCTGGATCAGCTGGATTACAGACATGAAATACAGTCATATTTAAAATCTGCTAATGGCTTATTTCACTTTCAGCAAGAAATGGTAGAAGTGATAGTCGAACAGATGTTATGTAGTGGAGAAAAATGTGTTTTTCTGGAGTACAGGTGGTATAAAATGTGTGTCAGATTTTACTCTACGAGCACCGGAATATAAATTATACAAGTATTTTATCATCACTAATGACTCAAAGGGACTTATTCCAAACACTGATGCAAACTGGTGTCTCCGTACCTGCCCTGCTTTGGCATTTTCACACACATACGCCTCCAGGTAGTGCATCAGCGACGGAGGATTATCATTCACATCCAGGACCCTCACAGCCACCGACACACTTGCGATCTGTGTGGGGTTATCTGCAGGGAAACGCAAACTGGTCAGAGGCTGATGGACGGAGATAAATGACTCTGAGAAATCCTAAGGTGCAGCATGTTTGCTGTAAAAGATTTACAGAGGAGCTCAGCAGGATCCTCACAGATTACAGTCCTGTTATTCCCCATTACAGCCTGCCATTTGCATACCCTAACCAGCTGTGTAATAAGCTGTGAAAACACAATTAGTGCAAAGTAACTACTTTCTCAGGTTTCATCACATGATCCATCCATCAGAGGTGTGAGATTAGCTCTCGAGGTCAAAGCTCCACGTGGTCTTACTATGCTTTAATATTCACTGCAGTGAGCGTGCTCCAACTTTGCTGAAGTTGAAGATTTGGTAATTTAATAATCTACGAATTAGTTTAGTTCAAATTGAACTACACTGTGTAACAAATTAAAGTTCTGACACAATCTCCAAATTAATTATCACTTTTGGTAACAAAGTGTTGACTCTATCCTAAACACATTGTCAAAATTCTTAAAAAAAATTTCACTTAATGCTTTCAGTTCTCACATAATCACCTTTTTAATTACTAGTATTGTTAGTGTCCGACTGCTTTTTGCGTTTAATTTAGGACATTTAGCAGTTTTTGGACTCAATTACATTATTACAAGTAACACAAGTTTGTCATTAAGAAGCTAATGTAAAATTGTTGACACATCATAACACACATACCTTTCACAAACATGGCTCAATCTCAGTAACTTTATGTCCACAGGTCTAAAAATACTTATATCACAACTATAAAGTTACAATTTCATGTGAGTTCCTCGTTATTTTTGCTCTTGAATTTACAGCAACATATAAAAAGCTACTCATTTTTAAAGTATGAAGTGAAAATAAGGACTGTGAAGTAGAGAGAAAGTTTTTTATCGTCAGCTTTGTTTTGTTCCGGTTCATTGAAATTTTTTCCCTCTTCCTCTCTGTGCCCTTTCCGTCTCTGTCACATCTTTAATTAGCCACCATGCGGGAAGTTCTTTAATTAGTCATTAATTCAATTACCATCTCCTTTAAGGTGTGTCTACCAAACAAAGGCACAAACAGACAAACAAAGCAAAGGGAGGAGGGGTGAAGGTGACTTTCGGGGCTACCAGCTGTGTGCGGCTCTGCGGGGCATCTCCTGCTCAGCGTTACATAACTCTGCAAGAGCTGTTCTCAAAAAATCACTCAGTCTGCGTTCATTCAAGTTTACTCCATCCACCTGTTTGTTTGTGTTTTCTGCATAAAGCCGCTGAATGAATCTCACAGTTTTCTGCTGTTAAGTCCTTAAATTCAAACAGTTATTTAAATTTGAGCTGCAGTTTTACAGGTTATGATAACTGTATGCATGATTGATTTCTATATTTTTGAAATGTTAGCACTAATCTGTGTCACGTAGTGCTCCCATACCACCTATGGATGCACATGCTGTTCAAAAACTACTTTAGTCTTTAAATAGAGACTACACTGTAATGGCATAAAAGCAGCAAAAGCAGAACTCAGTTACAGCCAGATGTGTCTTTATTTGCATGTGTGTAAGACGTACTCATCTCCATGGCGAGGATGGTGATGTTGTGCCAGCCGACTTCCTCTCGGTCTAGCGAGCGCACCGTCATCAGTGACCCGGAGGTGATTTCGATGTAGAAGTACTTGTCGGGGTCACTGGATCTGTCAATGGAGTACCTGGTGACACAAGATGATGACATAATGACAACAATGATAAATAAAATGTACCTTTGTGTAATTTTAAGTGGTTCATAGGGTAATGCATGCACGCACACATAATCCAGCGCGTGACCCACGCGTGGGTCAGATGTCAGGCTGGAAACTCCTGAGGGAACTATGAGAAGAGGCTCCAGATAAGACTTAATCAGAGTATCTGCCTCCTCTGCCAAACTTCCAACATGTTGGGACATGCAGACCTGCAGAGTGCCGCCCTGGCTCGTTTCCTGCCACCGTGGGCCATTTTCCAGAAACGCTCTTTTGAGAGAGACACGCAGCAACAACAACAACAACCGGCCACACTCACACACACAGGAGGAGAGGGATGAAGAGCGCATCCTCTTCCAGGCTGTGGAGCATAAACCAGTTTATTCACACAGAGATGGAGCTCACCTGTCACTGCCATGCTCTCCTCTCACCTGGAAGAGCCGCCAATGTGTGTTTCAACCAGGAAACAAGCATATGTGTGTAAATCTGTGATCTGATCTGATGATAACTTGCATGTTGTTGCACTTTCATTTTTTCCAAACATAAGGAAAAAAAGGAAAGTAAACTGTATTCTGTTAAATTCCTTAAAGGAACGGTAAGATGATGGTATAACAGAGCGTCAGTGACGTAAGATTTTCTTCTGCGGTTATATTGGAGCAGTGAATACTAGACAGCACTTATTGAGCAGAAAATCTCTCATATGCTGAGGCAAGACTAGCATGCACAGATGATCAATAATAGCTTATGAAAAACCCACTTTTGTGCTATTTTGAACTTTTATAATTTGATTTGAGAGCAATGCATTCACGCAGATATAACACATCTTCTCCTTCACTGCATCCACGAACCTCCTCCGAGGCCTTCTTCTTTTCCTCCTGTCTGGCAGCTCCATCTTCAACATTCTCCAAATAAAAGTTTTAGCATCATCAGCTCTGCCACCTCCAGCTCGACCTTCTATCTGCTTGTTTCACTCTTGCTGCTAACCTTTAGTCAGAAATCACTCCTGACACTCATTTCCACCCACACCACCCTGCCAGCACCCTCTCCTTCATCACTTTTGTGCATCGTCTATTGTTTTGGATTGTTTACCAGAGGTTTTTAAACTCGGGTACCTTCACTAACTGTACATCACACACATGCATTGTGTCTTGCTTCCATTGACATTCATTCCTCTTTTCTCCAGACCATACCTCCACCTCTGCAGCTCTCTTCTACCTACTCCTTACTTTCACTACAGATCACAGTGTCATCTGCAAACACCAGAGTCTTCACCGTAGACTTGTATCTGACCTTATCTGTCAACCTGTCAAACAATAAGGGGCTCAGACCAGATATCTATATATGTAATCCTACCCCCACCTTGAACCCATCTGTCACTCGTACTGCACATCTTATCACTCTCTCGTTGTCCATGTTCATGTCTAGCACCACTTTCTCTCCCACTCATAACTTCATCATGTAGTACCACAGTTCCTCCTCATGTAACCTGTCATATGCTTTGTTTTTCACTGCTGCAAATCCTGATATTTTAGTCTGAACTTGCCCTGGTTAAGTCTTCTCTTTTAATAAATATGACCAGTTTTATTTGTCTCGTAGAAGCGCATTAAATGCATCACATCATACTGACACAGGCAACATACTGAAGGAAGAAATATTTTTGCCTTTAAATGACTAATTAACACACATGCTGTTGTGATCATCACCAGATGCAGATATCAAATGTTTAATAAAAGTCTGTTGCTGGCACACTGAGGCATTAGCAGCAGACTGTGCTTGCAGACTTGCTCGCTGTGCGCGTTTTTGACTGACTGCCGACAGGAAACAGTCGTGATTGGCATGTCTGCCGCTGGCGAGGATCTCCCTGAAGGATCTCTATTAATATCACTGGTCCACAGTCCTGAGGAGGGGGGGAGGGGGCAGTGTGTGTGAAAAAGCAGGTGAAAAAGTGTGAGGTGAGTGCATACAGATGTATCTGCCAGTCACGCTGCAGCGCAGAAAGGACGGAGAGATGACAGATGAGGCAGACGGAGACACTGAAGGTCACCTGCTGCTTGTTGTTATCTGCCATCTGATGTTGCTGTTGCTGCAACAGCCGATTCCTCAGTTATCTGCAGCTCCCATTGCCAAAACTCGCATTTTGAAAATCTCTCACTGATGCTCGTCCAGCCCTGAAGATTTTAGTGACACGACATTTTCAGACTGCAACTTCAGCTGCTCTGAATCCTGTTGCTTCCAGATATTAGAAATCAGTTTTCTGCTGATGGTCGTGGTTGGGTCTTTTATTAATCATCAAAACCTTGGATGACTACCTGTAGATCTCCCATAGCAAAAAAATAGTCTTAGAGTTACTTTTGCTAGTCTCTCTGTCACATCAGTAAACGAGGATTACTTTATAAACTCGGCCACTTGTGTCAGCCCATATAAAATAAAACATTGAGCTCATTTTCAAATTCTTACTCTAAAAGTCATTAAGGAGGATTATCCAGTGTTAGAGTTGAACACAAATGATTAACCAATGATTGTGAAGTTTCACAAATTGATCCGCCTCTTCTCATCACAACAAACAAACAAAGGTGAGAGCAATGGCTCACACTATGGTTGCTGTGAACAGAATGCATCCATCGTTAATGTCTTTACTAACACCTGTGCTTTCCTGTTTAGTGTTAAAAAGAAGCTGATTAAAAAGAAGATGGACTGTTTGTTCTGTTCTTCTCTTTGGAGACAAGCTTCTTCAACAGCTTCAGAACTTCAAGTGAACAAGCTCAGCTTTTACTGATCATAGACAGACATGTGAGAGAAGTCTCCTGGTCCTCATTACTAGGCCATAATAAGAAAAACAGCTTTTACTGTCAATAAATAGCAGGCTTTTATAACAGTGAGTCAGTAAAGAATGATGCATTTGAACTTGTACTAAGAACTTCCAGAATACCGCAGCCACTTCAGTCGCAGCAGTACATGGTAACCTCATTGATGAGCGCCGGCTGCATCTTGTGATTTTAAGAAGCCTCAGTCTTCAAACAGCAAACAAAAGGGCTGTTTTTAGGGAAATGGGGGGGGGGGGAGAAAAAAAAATCAGTTTTCTGCTATGAGGTTCATTTAAAAAAACCAAAAATAAAACACATTCTCTAGGCCAAGAGAGTATTTTTTAATGTGTCCTGAACAATAGTTCTCCAGGCTTTTCTTTGGACATTGGCTGCTTTTTCACTTATTTTCTGTCCAGTCCTTGTAAGAATATTTTAAAACCATATAATCCTGACCTATGAGTCATTCAAGGATAAAAAGGCATCTAACTGAAGGGATGAACCAGTGTTGCATCTACACATAACAGAGCACTTAGCAAAGAACCACCACCTCCTTAGCCACTTTTTCACTACCAGCCTGTTGCAAAAACACATAAACATATTTCCCCATTTCTTTAGTTGAATGTATGAAAGATGTCAAACTGTCAAATAGAATTTTTCTACCAACAAGATGATTCTTGAAGAGCTTTTAGCTGAAAACCTGATATATCTAAGCATGGCAGTGTCCTTAAAAGATTGTGAAAATGAAGGACAAAAGAAGAAATGGCTCATTGCCACATTCACCTATTCATACAGACACTTTTTTCTGTCCTTAAGTGCTTTCTATCTAACATTCATACACATTCACAGCCATCTGTAAAACACGGTGGTTCGGGCCCACTTTACAGACAGGAGAAATTGTCAAAATTGATCAAATTATGAACACAAAGAAGTACAGTCAGATTTGTATCCACCGTATAACACCATCTGGAATCTATCTCATTAGTAATGGCTAAATCTTTCAGCATGACAATGATTTCAAACACACTGCCAGTGCAGTAAAATCATACCTGGGTAGAAAAACACAATCAGTCGTAGATTGTCCTCCTCAGAGCTCGGACCTCCACATTACAGTAGAAGTGTGGGGTCATCTGAAGGTAGCTAACATCCAAAGATGAGCTTTTCCTTTAAGAAGGTTGGAGGATTGTTCCTAAAGACTACTTAAATAAATGATAAGGAAGCTTTCCTAAGAGAGTTCAGGCTGTGTTGAAAAATAAAGGTGCTCCTACCAGAAATCGACTTTCAAGCTCATTAGGATCCTCAAAACTGTTTCTGTAAATATTTTCTGTGTTTTGTTTTGCATGTGTTGCAGGTATGCACATGTATGTCCATGTACATTTGCACATGTTTAAATAAATCACCTATTTCCTCATCTCACTAGCAAAATATGAAGAAATTGGGGATGACTTAAGACTTGCAGTACTGTTATACAGTTGAGTTGCATGACGTGTTACCTGTCAGTGAAGGGGGAAACAATAGAAGTCAATATCTATGAGTGAAAGAGGACGAAAACCCTGACACAGCACTCGGGTTAAACTGCTGAGTGTCCGTGCAGACGGATGAAGTGAGCAGCAAACGCACACAGGAGTCATCTACATCGTCTTCCTTTACTTTTCACCCTGATCGAGGTGGAAAAAAGGGAAAGCTGGGACGAGGTGCAGCTTGTGTGAAGCACTCAGTCACCCCCGCAGCCGCTCATTCCTTCAGATGATTAATAGCCTAATTAAAAGGCTTTATGTCTAATTAGTTTATGAAAGGTGCAGTCTGGACGATCAACGCACCACGCAACATCTGTTCTACCTGAGAACAAACCAGACTGAAATAAATGACATACGTCGTCAGCGTCTCTACTTCTGCGTGGTCTTTGGTTGTTACACAGATTAGTCCTCTATCTCGTGTCAGCTGTCCTGCTCTGAACATATATGTGGATAAATGGGAGCTCAGTCATATCAGCCTGCAGCTGCAGCCAGCTGTGAGTTGTGTTGTTATGCTGCCCCCTGCTGGTAAACAGGTTACTTTACTCTTATTTTACTTTAAACTAATGAAAATGCAGATTTAACTAAATATGATGCTCCAGATAGACTTACATTATTAAATTACTGAATTGACAACGCTGGTAAAATTGTGATGAAATCAATGAAAATTACCGACATATTTTAAATACATTTTGGTTTATAAGTTTCCAAGCTTATAGAAGAGTTGCTTAAAAAATATCCATATTTAAAGGTGAAGAGTGGGAATTTTTTTTAACCTCTGTTTTAAATTCACCCCTCAGTGCATAAGTTTAATCTCTGAGAGAACCCAAACACATTCTGTGAGTCTGTCTTGGTTCCAGTTGACTGGTTTTAGTCAATGGGATGGGTAATTTGTTTGCCGAACACAAATTAACTCATTGATGCATCTCAGAATTGGTTCAGTTTACTGCTTCTGAAGCCAGTGGTCTCAGAAGCTGATCGAGGCTGGGCTGTTGGCATGCAGGATGTTGGCATGCATATCCATGAGAGCACCATACCTGATCTGATTGTTTCTGGTGGAATCTGAGCTACCGAGATGAGGCATTCCAACCTAAGCTTGTGCCATATACAGACTTCTCTAGCCACCATTTAGTCCCTGTGTCTCTGAACATGTTGGGTTGATGCCTTCATCAGGCTCAATCAGTGACCTTTGCACCCACTGAAGGCTACACTTATCCAAGAATGGAGAAAAAATCCTCAGATACAGATTGTGCAGTCCATGTTTAGACAGTGACTGCTAGCATCACATCCAGATAAGGCCACACCTTATATTCAGCATCTTGTATCTACATATATTACAGTGTTGGTGCATAAAATCTGAAGCCAGTAGAAACAACAAAGAGGACTTCCAGCAGACTGTTTCTGCCACACATCTGCACAGAAATTCTGCTAAATCAAACCATACGAAGCACATAACTGGAGCATTATCACAAAAAATAGAAACTTTGCCTTTGAGGTGGTTTTTTTGTCGTATCAAGGGTATTTATTGACCTATTTAAATGCTTAAAATGTAGACTAAACTCTTGCACAGTAAGCATGTTTGCAGTAAAACTGCAAAACTACTGAAGCACACAAAATCTGGAGTGGTTTATTTGTCATCCTCACCTCACAGTGTTGTTGGCAGCATCCGGATCCCTCGCTGACACGGTCTTCACCATAGTCCCGATCTCTGCGTCCTCTGGCAGCTCGACGTAGTACGCCGGCGAGTCGAACAGCGGGGGCTCGTCCACGTCCTCTATGCTCACGTGCACGATGGTGACGTCCTTGAAGGGCCCGCGGTGGCGAAAGGCCGGATCCAAGTGGGTGTTGGCTCCCTCCACCTTTAGAGTGTAGCTTGGCTTGATCTCAAAGTTTAGCGGCTGATGGGGTAACACACAAAAAGATTTTAAACTTTTAAAAATGACCTCTGGGGTTAAGACGTGGATTGAGATTAAAAGGTTAAACTGCTGGTATTTCATGGTAAAATCAGCAAACGCTGGGCCTATCTGCTAGGAACTGTCCAGCTCAAAATAAAAAATGAATATTAAGTATTTATTTCAGTGCTGAATTTACTGAAGAGATGCTGCAAAAAGAATGTGATCTTTCCCTCACTCAAGGTGAAATTAAATTGATAGATTCCTGAAGGGACTTTTGAGTGTAGGACAAAGAAGGCTTTCAGCCTTTTGTAAATGATAAAAAATGGACTGTTTCTTTTTTAAAAAAAGAAAAAGAAATTGGATAGTTAATATCTATATCATAATATCATCTTTAGTCTGTACCTTTTTCACTGTGATGATGCCAAAGAGGTTTGTAGGGTCGGTGCTGATGTCAAAGGTGTCCCTTCCATCCCCATCGATGATGCTGTACTTCATCTCAGCATTGACCCCAATGTCCCTGTCCTTCGCCCAGATGCGTCCCACCACCGACCCCACAGGAGCCGACTCAGGAATACTCATCTGGTACAGCCCTGAAGACACAGATTAACATGAGTGTAATCAAACGGGTTCACTTTTCAGTCCTCTAGAGGGAGCCAAACCTCTTCGGCTCCTCTTGTCACCAAACCACATCTCAAGCCGGATGAAATAAATGGCTCCATAAACGCCTCACAATTGGGTTATCTACTGTCTCATGGGTCGGCTTGAATTTCATCTACCGTTTAACCTCAAAGAAGAGGTGACAGCTGCCCAATTTGTGGAGCTCCCCGCAGCCTTAAAGCAAAACGCTTGCACATTGTGTTTGTTGGAGGGGAATCCCTGAAGCTCTTCACAACCGATCAAAGTTCCATCGGAGTGATGGCGTTAATTGGTTTGGGGACTGGTGATGGAGGAGGAAGTGGGCGCTGGGTGTTTTCTTTGTCTAAGAGCGAAGCCACCGGTCGGCCAAGCCGAGATGACCGCAGACAGCTAGACAAACCCCTGACCTAATGAGAGAAGTAGAAATTGGTATATTGAAAGAGACAGCATGGGGCGTCTGGTGGCTGGGAAGAAGGAGAAGAGGGAGGGAGGGAGGAGGCCAGAGGGTAAATGACTGGGGATTGGTGGCTAGAAGTGGACAGAGGGGCTAATGGCTTGGGTTCTCCAGAGAAATGAAGTGGATAGATGTAGAGATGAATAGTTTTGCACCGTTCTTATTGGGGGCAGTTTTAAAAATACACAAAGCACACCACGAGTGAGGTGTCAACCCTGAAACTAAACAGTGATCTCAGGGCCATTTCAGGGCTCTGAGTTTGGGTTCCTGGCCTGTCTCAGCTGCAGCACGCTCAGGCTGTACTATAATGCACAAGGCAGAGTTCAGTGTAAAGTCAGCATCATTTTAAGGCCAAGCTTCCAGAAAGCAAAAACACCAACTGGCTCAAAATCGAGACTTAATCCTACTTCTTACCAAAAATAATAAAACAGTATCAGTATTATGCTGAACCATAAATATATAAAACTGCATGATAAGGTCTTCCTAAAGAACGACATCTGAGCTTTCTCCAGAGACTCCAAAACTTAACTTTGAAAAGAGGACTTCTTATGAAGATTAAAAAAAGTGTTTACTGCAGTAGAAGTTAAATGGTTGTTTGTTTTTCCTATTAGTTCAGTCATTTGTCTGATAAAAATTAAGAGCTAATTTGTGGACTGCTGGTTGGACAAATCAGCTCGCTGGAAGAATATCTTCTGACATTTAAAGTAATGCTTTGTTTCAGCCCTCATTACCTCAGGGAGTCATAGCTCAAAGCTGCACAGTTTGTATATACTCAGAGGCTTTTTCTTTTTCTTTTCGAAGTTTTCCTGCAGTATATCACACGCTGCTGTTTCATAGCTGCTGAGACAAAGTACATGTTGCTCCTCCTCGAGGCTGATATGGGTTCAGGTAGAAAATCAATAAAACTAAGAAAAACATCTGCAGAGGGTTGCTTACTTTGGTCAAACATGGGCGGGTTGTCGTTGATGTCGCTGAGCGTGATGTTGACAGTAGTGGTGCCGGCTAGCCCCCCCAGCTGCCCGCCCATGTCCTTCGCCTGGATGACCACAGTGTAGTTTTCTCTGGTCTCGCGGTCCATGTCTGCCAGGGACACACGGACCACGCCTAAAAACAGAGAGGCAAATTAAAAGTCAGTTGACACAGACTGAGGTGAAACAGCCAAAGGATGGTGTCCTGAAATGAACGTAAAACCTTGATGATCAACTGATTTTATATTGATCTCTGTCTGTTCATGAGGGATTTTTCCAGCATCTCGTTGAATCTGTGCATGAAGAATTACGCAAGTCATGAAGGCAAAAAGAGTTCAAACCCATCGCTAGCAAGGTGTACCAAATAAAGTCGCCAGTAAATGTGCATTCTGCTACATCCAAAAGGTGATCTGCTGGTGCCTGGGGGGCTTGAGAGGAGTCCAGTGTCATCCTAATACACATGCATGCATAAATCATCCTCGCACCACACACCACAACTAATTAGTTTCTCTAATTTAGAGTCCCCCACCCGAACACACATTACTGTTATTTCTCATTTGGATATCCAATATGTTAGTATGATATGATGCTATGGCAACTGTACACTGTTTTTAAATTTTAAATTGTGCAAGCTAGCAGAATGGCAGTCTAGTTTATGCCTGATGAAAAATGAAAAAGGTTTTTTTAGAAATCATAATTAATATTTTCCTCATTAATGATGCATCTCACAAACCATCCTCTGTTTTTCAGGATGTTAATTTTTATGCAGATTAACCACTGTGCCTGCGGACATATGTGCAATCTGTGCATCATTACAGTGGATGCCACTTAAGCCCAATAATCTCATTGTCATGTTAATGAAACCAGGTTCAAATTACTTTTTTGGCTTTGTGACATGGTGCATTATCATGCTGAGAGCAGTCATTAGGAGATTGTAAACCATGCGAATGACCAGGAACGTTTAGGGGGAGACATGGTATTTAGATAATAATGAATCAAAATCTACGGGCAAATGTCCCAGACCACAAAGAGTCAATCAACACCCAAGCTGAGAAATATGAAAGCCAATCATCTTGTTGCACTGAGACATGCACAGAGCAGAGGTTTGGGACAATTTTAATTGTGCAGCAGCAGACATATCTACTTGTTAATGTGGTAGAAATGTTGATAAGCATTCTTTTTGCTTTGCTGTTGTAGCCATAGCATGACTTTAGATTGAATTTGTCCAGAGTTTTTGTGGGACAAGCAGACACTGACCAAGTTAGCACAGATGTGCAAAAAGCTGCAGCTTTCAAAAACATCTTTATAGCCTGATATAAAAAAAATTTTCTGGCCTTTACGGATAGTTTCTCTACAAAGGGCACTACGTTTTGAATCATCAACCTGGATGAGTTAGGGGTCTGGCACCAGCAGATGAATGCACAGGTATTTGCCATAGACAGTACATACGATGTAGCCAAATTAAAAATTGGTCAGAAAGGACTATTATCCTGGTGATGCTCACTCGTTCACTTGATTTTGATTTATTTGTAGCGTGACTTCACCAACCAGTGAGATGCATCATGTTCCTATGTTCCTGTTTATTCTGTCTTTGGTAGTTGGTAGACTTCACCTCTGCTAATGGGAGTCAACGAACTGGACCTCTGAACCGCCTAATTGAATTACCTGACAAATAATATGGGCTGCTACTAAAAACAGCCTGCCCAAGAAGCTTTTGTTTCAGTTTGGGTGAGAAAATCTAGTTAATTAGCACTAATTAGCAGGTATAGGTGTTGCACTCATACAATTTGCCAATTTCTCATCCAAGAGGTTTTAGGTTTTAACAGCTGATGGGATTCTCAGCCAGTTAAACCCTGGTGGAGTTGTCACCTTAGAAGTAGACCTGAGGTTTGACTTACGTTGTTATCATGAGAGTTATTAGGGTCAGATGCATCTAGATGTGAGTGGGAGTTGAAACAGATGGGATCTCAAAATATATCTGTAGGCGACTGATCGATGATATCATTTTCAAGGACCTAAAAAAAGAGTTGCCTTCAAGCACCTAAGACTACCATGACTTTGAAAAAAAAAAATAACAACAATGTGGTGGTGGTCATGAAGATGTAATAATGTCCTTTTTAGATTCTATTTTGAGTCAAAAGAATCAAACTTTGTGGCTTCATATTTAGTGGACTTCAAAATAATTTTGCAGTACCTGACTTAACGTGACTTGCTTCTAGAAAAGGTCAACTGTGGTACTGAAAACATCATCTCTGACCATAGATTTGAGCCTGCTATCTGCAGCTTTAGGACAAAAAGGAGACTAATCAGACCAAGATACATTTTTGTCCAGTTTTAGTGAGTCTGTGACCTCTGCTGCCTCAGTCAGACTCAATGTGGTCCTTTGCTGTTGTAGCCTGTCCACCTCTGACTCAAATGCTTTCTTTCTCAGCACGGACGTAAAGATTGGTTATCTATGCTACTGTCTGCCAGCTCCAACCGGTCTGCCAGCTGACCTCTCACCTAACTGAACTCCAGAAGCAGCTGTGTGGTGGAAATCTCACAATATCAGCAGTTGGAGAAAAACCACATTTCTCCTGATTCTGATGTTTTATGTTTAGATTAAGTAAGCATTCGGACTTATCTGCAGACTTTAATGTTTTGCTCTGCAAACACATGATTGCGTGATCAGATGAGCACATAATTACACAGATGCACAGGTGTTCCTAATGAAGTTATCACTCAGTGTCCTAATCAAGAAGTGGAAATAATCACATTTACTTTAGTTTGAACTGAAAATGAGAGCAAAGAAAAGTAAGAAATTGTTGCTTCTAGAGGATTAAATAAGGTATTTTTTTGCATAGCTGCACAGTTAAAGTGCACGTAACCAACCTCAACCCTGCAACTACACCTCACTATTGGCTTACAGCCTAATTTCTCTGAATCGCATTTGCGTGCTTTTTTAAATAGCTTTTATTTTAAATCTGCAGCACAATTCATGCAAGGTAAAAGTTTTGTGCTATAGAATCAGAAAAGGAGTTCAAGTTGCGGGCAGCTCCAAGGCTGTCTGTGTTTAAGTTGTACATTGTGGCAGCACTAATAAAAGCTGTGCCTATAGTCGAGGCAGTGAGGCTGATTGATGGCTGCAGAGCCGACCTACAGCAGCAGCGGTAGCAGTAGTCTGACTGGCTGTTGATGGGCAGTGCACCCTCAGCGGTTTGGCAACAGATTCTGTGCTGACAAAGAAACGGGACAGCTGTGTTAAACACTGGCCAGAGGTACTAATGGATTTTTGGACATTGTAGTAAATCCTTTAACCACATCCTAGAAAGCTACAGGTTTAAAGAAATCTTCCTCTTTTACAAGTTATGTTTACCTTATTTTTATATGCTGTTATTTTGTAAAACACGCTGGCCAACCAATAATCTTTATTCTTCTTCTTTTAAAATATACCTGGCTGCAGTAGTTTGATCTAATTCAGACCCAAGAGTATTGGAGAGGTCTCTCACGCTTGTGGGTTGATAATTTAGTTCATCCCAAAGCTGTTAGATGGTCAAAGTCAGAGCTTTGTCTGAACAAGTCCAGTTTTTTTCCACACCATGCTGTACGCTGGCTTCACGCACTGAAGCACTGTCATGTTGAAACAGGAAAATGATAAATACACAAAGGTGGAAGTGCACTACCAAAAATGTCTCCACTTTTTTAAACACCCTCAGTGTGTAAATATTCCTGTCTCCCTTTTTGGGATCGTCTGTTGTCATCCTGAGGTCCCTGGTTAGTCTCCATGTTGCTGTACTCTGTTTCTTATCTGCAGTTAGTATTCGTGCATTATTCTTCCTGTCTTTTGGGGGCAGCTGTGGCTGGTTGGATGGTTGGATACTTGGCTCCTCCCATCAATGGTCTGAAGCACCATTGAGTAAGATGCTGAACCAGCTAGTTACCCCAGTGCTTCATGTGTGTAATGTTATGTCTAGATAAAAACACTGTATGAATGTATGTGTGACACTAGGAGTGTTAAAATGGTGTAGTTGCATACTTGACAACATTTAATTAGTTAACTGGATGCAACATAATGGAATATTAGTTGGTAAAAGGCACTAACATCACTAAAAAAAGACACAAAATCTAGTTCAGTGACTCAAATTAGAGAAAGTGAAGCTGTGGCTTCCAGCTGCAAGTCAAGGTCGCCACAGCAATAATAGAAAACTTAAAGCCTGAAAAAACCCAGGTGGTTAGGTTGCAGTTTTAAATCAAGGCAACAGCACAATTATCCTAAATATACAGACAGGTTGTAGCAAGCTGTAAACGTATTTATTTCTGCTATAAAGACCGACATTTTAATGTGAGAGTCTCAGGGAAGTGACTCAGTTTTTGCCCGTAAACCAAAAACTGCTTCTTTTTTTTTAAATCTTCGCTGCAACCAAAGGGAGTACGCCACACATAAGTTTGGGGCCCTGACTTTTGTCAAATGTAGTAGCCTATATCATTTAGCTTTAAGTACAGGGTGCAACACTCCCTTTTATTATCTACTGTATACTAATAATTACTTTTAATTACTTCTGGTACTGATTGAAATGAAGAAGGTCAAGCTGTGTGATCAAAAGCATTTGCAAGAAATACATAATACAAAGCCAAGTATGCTGTTTGTTTCTTGATCCAGTCTTTATGCTAAGCTAGGCTCACAGGATGTGGGTTAAAGCAGGTTTCTCAAAAACTTCAAATAGTCCTTTACTAATAAAATGACTTAAAAAATAAATAATTGTATATTTTCTGTCACCATTGATGGATTCATCATCTCAGAAGAAAATACTCAAAATATAAGCTGGTAACTGGGACTCAACTGCTGCTTGGAAAGAGATAAAAAAGAGAAAGCAGGTGAGAAGAAACCAGCAAGATGGTTAAAAGTATACTGCAAAATACATAGTATTTAATTTTATATTTCTCCAAGCGTTTGCTCTCCATGCTATGAGGCGCCGTCTGTCTTATTCTGTCCTCATTTTCAACAGAAAAGTCACACTTTGAGCTCTTTTTTTGTCGGGTGCCAGGATTTAGAGACGTGGCAAGTTGCGTCGCGTTTCAGACAAGTGTTCGGTAGTCTCATAGCAACAACAGGAACCATGCTGAGCTTCCTACATTCAAAGTCGGTTTGGTATACACAGGGGTGTGGACTGCTAAAATCAGACAAAATCAGTGTGATATAGTGTTAAAAAAGAGGTGGTAGGTGCCTGTTAATAAATCTTAAGGAAGTTTGTGGACTTTATCGGGTCATCTGACATCATTTTGAGTAATTACAAATTCATATGGAGCTCATAAAATAGTTAGTAGCTGGTGAAGCTTGAAATTTCCAGCTTCTGCATGCAATGAGTGGTTTTGCAGCTTCGTACCAGTCTTGGCATCTACAGAGAAATAAGGCTGGCCCTCCAGGATGCTGTAGACCACACGTGCGCTGTTGCCATATGTGGGGTCGTCAGCATCTGTAGCGGTCAGCTGGATCACAGATGTTCCTGGAAGCAGAGGTTAGCGGGAGATGATGCAGTTATAAATAGGAAGCATCCTCTTAGGTGGAGATTTCTCCATCTGTAGACACAAACTAACTGTGCTTATTTACTTTAAAAGTATCTTTATGAATTGTGAATGAAGCAGATGGAAACGAGGCTGTAAGAACAAGCAACAGCGTCAACTCTGAAGGGCTTTTATGCACTTTGTTATTGTTCGCCATGGCTGCAAACATGGACAAACATGCACAGAGAACATTTTTGTTTCTGTCTCCTACCATGCGCCCGCCTTTCCTTTTCCTTCTGCTTACCTATTTTGGACATCTCAGGCACAGTCGCCTGGTATGGGCCATCTAGAAATCTCGGCTCGTTGTCGTTGATGTCCTGGATCTTGACGATGAACTCGGACTCGGGCTCTAGGGGCCTGTCCGTGAGGCGGTTGCGGGCCTGTGCACGGAGTATGTACTGAGCCTTCACCTCTCGGTCCAGCCTCTGGATTGCGTGGATGTCCCCCGTGCTGTCATCGATGGTGAACGTGGTTCCCGCCCCTTCCCCCGTGAGGATGTACTTAATGGAGCCATCACCTTTGTCCATGTCTGAGTGGAGCTGTGCGGTTCAGAGTTGTTAGTTAAAAGTGAAATTCTCATGACCAGCATGAAAGACCAGTCATAAGTTGACAGTACAACAGACAAATGGTGCAGTCCAAAAGTATTAGGGCATTGACATGTTTTGGGAATGATAATTAGGTCGTATCTTCCAATTTTAGAAAAATGCAACAGCACAGCGATCCTAAGCATACAGAAATGACAAACAAACAGCTTTACTGGGACAAATGAAGCAACGTCCAAGTCAACCTCATGATCTCAGTCCAACTAAACATGTGTTATAGTTGCTGCAGAAAAAAACCACACACCCAGAAATGAGGATACACAAGAAAAGAGGCTGTAGTACATGCCTGGAACAATGTGGCTCCCTATTTAGGGAATTAGTCAAGTTATCAAAGAACAGTAAAGTATGTGATGAAAATTTGCTATTTCACATTTTTGCAACCTGACTGTTAGGAGTGTAAGAGTAGCCATGATTCAGTGTGCACAACACAGCTACAGGGTAACTTTCTTAAAGTGGACTTGTTGTGCTCCTTTCCAGCTCCATATTTTTATTTTGGGCTTTTATTAGAAGGGCTCTGTCAGGGGCTTTGGATTCTCTGTCTGAAACAAGCCATTTAAGCCCCTCCCCCTGTAAACAGCTTTAGTCTTATTGACTGGCCCTAACAAAGAGACGGTTTGAATAGCAAATAGGTTGAGTAGGTTAAAAAAAAAATCAATGCATATGCTGGCATTGTTGACAATGGTTAAGGTGATGCTTCATGGATATTGTCAAATTTGGGTAAGTAATTTGTTATCTAAAATCTGCTGCAGCGCACTCAAACCTTTGATTCAAGAGAACAAGATGAATTAAAGCATCTTTGCCTTTGTCAGGGATTCATTTTGATCTTCTGATGATTTGCTTGCTGAAGATGATTCTTCATTAACAGCTTTCATTTGACCACCTGCTCCGTTTTACTCCCTCTTCTCTCGTCAGTAATGGAATATAAGATACGCTCTGAATCAAAAGTAGGTAAAATAAAATCAGAAGAACATAATTCAAGTGATGTCGCTTTATCAGTTTTTTTTTTCATCTTTTTTCAGCCCCAGAGGTTACTCCACGGTTTCAGCCAGGGGTGTCAAACCTAAGACCCGGGTGGGGCCAGAATGTCTCACTAGCAAAGACCTCACGTTGCTCGTCGTACTGCATCAAAGTACTTTGGTTGTAGTAAAATTGCTTATTATTGTTCGTATTACATTAAATAACAGAAAATTTCCAGTTTTTGTTGTTTGTTTGTTTTTTTACAGTTAAGTCACAGTAAAAGAAAAACAAAAAAGAAAACAAATAAACAAATAGATATATAAATTCAGCACTTTTTTGCAAATTAACATTGTCCTGTAATTTGTTGTGTCGACAAGCATGTCGAGCTGTGCTGGTTGGTTTGCGCTGCACTACAATTTGTAGTTAAACTTCTTTTCACTGAATGTTTTCTGCGATATGTAGGATATGTACCAATAGAGTTCCCAGTCTGGCCCACTTCAGATCAGTGGGTATGTGATGATTTTAGCACCTGGATCTAAGCTTTTCCTGATGTAATTTGATGTAATGTGATTAGCAATTAACTAATTTTGACCTCACCAGGGCTCATTGTTAATGGTTTTTACTTTGTAGTCTAAATAATCTGGAAAAACATGAAATGTCCTTATGATAAATTAATGCATTACTGTCAAACTGATTTGAGTCCCCCAAAATTGTAAAATTCTTGACCTCCAGGGATGGTGTGTGCTTATGTGTTGCTCTTAATATTGTTGCTGGAAGTAGACATGTAATCACAGCTTACAGCCTGTTGCCCGAGACCCTGCAGTGCAATCAGAAGCCTTTTGTAGCCTCTAAGAGCAAATGTCATCCTGTTGATCTGCAATCAGACTTTACTTTGTACTTAAAGGGCCTCTGCGTATGATGAGTGCTTGCTGCCATCACACTAGCGGAGTGAAATTAAATGCCCCCCAGTCTGTCTCATATATAATCAACAGGTGTGCAGCCAGGCCACAACACAGCACTAAATCTGCAAACACTCCTTTCAAGACACACTTCCTTTGGCTGTTTTTCTCATCTGGGGCCGAGCCGAGGTGGTTGAACGGCTAAAAGTTTTGCTACTTGTTATGCCAGTGATAATGCACTAGTAGTTTTTATAATATCTTTCATTGCCGAGACGCAGACAATACAGCTTTTCCTATCACTGCCGACAACATGCCCACCTGCACGCTCTCCTGCAAAGCCCAGCTCAGCCCAGAATAGATTTCCTAATCAGCACCTCATTGTGGACTTTAGCCCTGTGTCTGGTAGTGATATATCACAGGCTCAGCTTTCCTCTGCTTATCCACCTTCTCCGGCTCCAGTGCCTCCTTTCCTTCAAAGCCTTTGAAAGTAGCAAGTTTGACACTCGGGCTATCAATTACCTGCTCCTTCTCAGCTTTGGCCCAAACCCCCAAACCTCCAACAACCCAGCGGCTCTGAATACAAAGTTCCTCAGCAGAGGTAGGGAGAACTGAGGGGAAGCAAACTAAGGACGGAGGCTGCAATACATCTTCTGCTTTGTCCCGGACTTGAGTGGCCCTTTGGGTTGTAGCTCGGCCTGTTAGAATCACTTTATCCATTCAGTGTGAAAAAATTAGAGATGAGGAGAAACACGGTACAGAAATTTTTCACGCCATATTTAAGTGGAAGTAATATTTTTCCTGAAGATCTCTCTGTCTGCATAAGCACATGGCTTTTAGGAATCTGACATTTTCCTCAGTATTCCCAAGCGGTGGTAGTGAAATTATTTCAGAAGACTAATTAAAGCAGGTTTGCATCACTCCCAAAGGGTGATTTCTGAGGATGAGCAGTTAATACTGCAGTGCTTTAAAAGCTGATGAGGGATATTGAGGGAGTGGTAGTTCTGAAATCGGGGCTTTATACTTTTAGCTATTCAGGAATAGCAAAAAGCATTTTCTTGGTGTTTTGAAACCAGCTGTGATAAGTGAGTGATTCATCAATCACAAGTCATTAGCCAATCAGCATTCTCAGAAAGACCAAAACTTCCACAATTGAGTTAATATTTTACTCAGAATGACCCAAACCTGGTGGTTGAGTTCAGAAAAAAGAAAGACTTCAATAAGCACTGGCTTCACATCCATCTTTCATAGTGTCTGTGGTGTTAGCTGCACTGATAATACTTGTTTGTTGCTCGTAAATTGGTTAAAATTGGCTTCACAGTAAGAAAAAATAGCAGGCATGAGCATTTTGTTTAAATTTAGATACATTATTACTTCTGTATTTGTTGAAACTAAAAGAAAACATGTGCTCCTGCAGCCAATTTCTATACTGTGAGAGTAATACTCAGTGAAATGGCTCCTAAATCGACTCAGATTTGTGCAGGCACTTGACACTAAATTATTTTTTTGCTTTCTCTCTTTCCAGAGAAATCTTTTTTAGTGATATAATGGCATTTTTTTTTAAAGTTTGAGCTTGCAGAAATGATGCTTCTCTCTGCCGATGATGACTAGAATTACAACTATTGATCAAATGTTCAATTCACTTTAGCAAGCGAGCAATCAAAGTGCTCCATTGTGAGCACCTCTCCTCTGCTCTTGTGAGAGCATGTCAGCGGTGCTGCAGATGTGCCGTCCACTTCTGAGAAACGGAGACCGACTGAAGCTTCGGTTCGAGTCAATTAACTCAATCACTGCTGTCTGGCTCTGGTTCAAAGTGGACAGAAGAGAGGCTGTCTCTCAGAAGAACTCAGTGCATCCAGGGATTAAATTTGGAATTTCTTTTTCTTTTTTCTTCTTCTTGTGTTTATTGAAGCTTGCCTTTGCCCACCCATGATCTTCTCTTTTTGTATTCATGTGCTCAGCTCTAGCCAAGCTGCCGATGACCTCCAGCAGTAGAGCTCCCCTATAGATCTTTTAGTTTGCTCTGTTTGAAGGAGTTGGAGTTAAATTCACTTTGCAGCACCTATCAGTTCAAAGGTTACTTAGAAACCATGCTCTCTGCAAGGCTAGAAACCCGCACTCTTTGCATCTTATACCTCCACATGTACGTGCATGTTCATGTCCATAAAGTGCAACTTATAGTGAAGACTGACCTTTCCAATATAAAGTGGTTCCAGTCCAGTATACTCCTCCAGGACAAAGAACTGATTCCACACCCAGCTTCGCTTTGCCCGTTGCAGCAGTGCTGAGCTCCCTACATGTTCCTCCTCTGCCGGCGTACCCAGAAGGCTATGAGGCAGAAGGGTCAAAATGCCAAGAGCCACGGGGAGCAAGGTCCATGCAACTGCTGGAAGATGCACTCGGTCTCCCATCGTGAAACACGGAGTAGTATTTGAAAAGACTTTTCCCTTTTTCTTGACAAGTGGAGCTATTTCCTGGGTCCCGTCTTTGTGGCTGCTGGAAGAGAAAAAAGGAAGAGCACAGATGAGTCTCAGATTCTGGACACATTCATTTCTGTTAATATGTGTCATCCACAGGTCTCCAACAGCGCCACGGGATACAACAAGGACATTTCCACTGACTCCAGATTATTTCTCTACTACTGAGCTTTTGTAGATTTATGATGAGCTGTGTATCTGTGTGAGCCTTATAACGGCTGAATGAGAGGGTTCCTCTTGTACTGGCGATGTGGAGTTGGAAAGAAATGAGGAGAATGGGTACATGTTCTTCAGATTTTTTTTTGTTGCTTTTAGGTAAACCAAAAAAAGTTGTGCTGTATTTTTTCTCTTTAAAAGTTATAAAATGAAAACAAAAAGACTGTTGATGTCACAGGTATGTGTAACTATAACATCTCTAGTGAGGATTGCCTTAGAATGAAGATGACCTTTTGTGGTTTTTATGGGTCATTTAAGTACATCAAATCAGTCCGTAGGTGTACAAAATTCAGGAACTGAACAGACTAATGTAACTTCCAAACCACTGTTTGTCATTTCTATTTGAATGTATTATATAAAGTAGCGAGCATCAGAAGCACTGGCAGGTGCATTTTTAAATTTTAATAGTAAGGCAACCAGTACCAAGCTAGGCCAACAGCCAACCAGCTTTAATAGTCATGACAACAAGATGAAGTCACTAAAACTGTAGTTCCTCTTATGGCCACTTGAGGCTGGCAGCAAAAATTAGTCAGTCTAATTTATCAGCTTCCTCCACAAAGCAACCTCCATAAACTTTGTGAGAAAGGACTAATAAAATAAAACACTAGAATTTCATTCATTTCAGTTAATGCACAGATCTCTTGGATGGTCTGCACGACACAGCAAGCCGCAATATTAGTCACATAAAATGGTCGAAAAGGCACCAACAGCACAAACACACAGTGGAGAGGTCCAGTACAATATTAGTGGATGGGCCCAAGCAGATGCCAGGATTCCTGTTAGTAACAGCAGCTACACTCATGCAGATGGATGAGTGAGAAAAAGTTTCACCCTACTCATGCTATTCAGAAGTTTAGTTTACTTTGCAGTTGGGCAAACACTAGAACTGCAGTTTCTGTCGCTGGCTTCATTTTCCACTTCATTGTTATTGTAATTATTGAACAAAGAATACTGCTTTCTATCGGTTAACTTAATCTGCGCTTCAATTAATACTGATTAGCACTCTTAGCTACACAGCATCCAACTAAGGAAAAGGACTCAGGAACTGCACGGTTAATCCATTTATCTGTCCATCAATCGTACTTCTTTATTTTTGTTTCTTAGCAGCAATTAGCAGGTATCTGTGTTTGTGTGATACAGTAGCTGTAGCACTCCACCCTCTCTTACAAACAAGGTTATTTTTGGCTACAAAAACCCAAAAAGCTAATTTGTTGCTAATGGTGGCTAATTCCATCTTTTATATGCAGGCATTTCATCTTTTATCTCATATTATATAGTCATACAAAAGCCTGCACATTTCATATTACATTGCCCAAACTTCCCCTAAAAATGTTAAAGCAATGTAAGGTTTTGGAGCCTGGAGGAGATAACAGAAATAATGAAGCACCAGCTCCAGCTTCTTTCCCTCCAGCTCGGGACACAAAACATCAGCAAGTGTAAGCACACTCTTTCTCTTCCTTCCTCCTCTTCCTGTCATGAGGAGAGGTGAGCTCCTTCACACCTCCTGTAAAAGGCCCGGGGGTGTGATGTTCTGAGATTGTAGTGTTTCTGTTAACACCCCTGCTCAGCTCTACTCACACCGTGTTCAACAAGCTCCCTTCAGCGCTGCACACCGTTCATTACAAGTGTGCTGTGTACGTTTTTTTTCTTCTTCCTTCCATATCGCAGGTTTTGAATGCCCCTATGGTGCTGCCTGGTTGCAGGATTTCATGCCTCTAAATACCATCTTCCTCCATGTTGCTCTTTTTTGATACGAGCATCACAGGAATCCTTAAGATCAGCGAGGTCACGTCTGTGAATTTTTGCAGGAGATGCTTTTTAAGGTATTGATCTGAGTTAATCAATACCTTTTCACATGCAGCGCATGGCACCTACGCTGCCTCTTCCCATCTGCATCCTGGTTTTATGTATTAGGAGGACGGCTGCATCTGCCCGCATCTTCCTGCATTAATGAGCTCAGGGGAAAATAGGCAGATTTAAGGTCTGAAAGTAGAAAAAGGGAGCGAGGAGGGGAGGGGATAAAAGGAAAAGAAAAGCAAGAAGAGAGGAGGCTGTTAGCAGAAAGTTTGCAGCAACGGAAGAAAGAGAGACTGTTTGACTCATTGGTTGACTCCATTATGTTTTGTAAGAGAGAGTGCATTGTGCTGCCGTGGAGTCCCTGAATCGCCAAACTCAGTTAATCATTGTTGAAGAGGCACAAAAGGCAGGGAAGGGTGGGAGGCGTGGCTGCATTGTCAGCGGGAGGCTGAGCTGTGTGTGTGTGTGTGTGTTAAGACAATCCCCGCGAGGGCCGCTTGGCAGGACGACTGACACTTGACCTCGCTGCTCCTCTCTTTTCTGCCTATTCAAGCCGACTGGTTGCCATTATGAAGTCAAATTAGCTCCCAGACCTTCCTCCCCTTTCGGCTCCTCCCCTCAAAGGTCGCAGCTTGCACCCGGGCATTTTGCTCCATTTTGTCGTGCCTAATGAGGTGACATGCTACGTAATTGTGCTGGCAAAACATTCTTCACATCTCTGTTCTGTTAATCTTATGGCATTTCGCCTGTTTAAGCAAAACGGCAGCTGGTGTGAACAGCAGATAGAAGGGGATGGGAAGATGAAGGGTTGAGGGGATGAGGAGCTAGGCGGAGGGCGGCAGAGCAATCATATGAAAAAGCTTTGCAAGACTTAAGGCAAAGAGGTATTTTCCCACCGGGCTGAAGCATTCCTCCGAGTGGAAAAATCTGCCTTTGTATTCAAAAGAAAAATAACAAATCAAAATAGAAAAGAAGCTACAGAAACATCCAATTTGTCCAGTGTTTGTCTTAAAATGAAAGAAAGCATTGGAAGGAAGGGTTGGAGGAAGAAAATGAGTGACAGTGATTGTCAGAGGGAGCAGCTGGTGTGAGAAAATGATAGACCATATTGTCGTATCATCGTACTCCGAGTCCACCTGCTGCTCCATTAGCTGCGATCTGACAACAACAGACTATATCAAACTGTTCCTGCGTGAGGGAGTGAGGTGAGTGATTTCTTCCAATGGAGGAAAACAAACTGCTGCGGTACGACTGACGGACAGAATCTGTACCTCCACCTGTTCATACTGAGTCACTGCTGCTTGAATATACTCAGAAAGCACCTCCATCCAGGTGAACTAAGTGGTGGAACTTGTGCTCATAGGAGTGGGTGTTAAACCCGACTGAGCCATCATAAAGTTAAGAAGTCCTGAAAGTTAGTTACGAGAGGCTTTTGGAGACACTTTTAGGGTCATTTTGGGTACTTGTGCAAAGGTTTCAGTGTCAACAGGCAGAAAACACCTGAAATACAGTGCATGTAAATTTGTACCAGATAAATCTGAGAGGTAAGAAGAGATATGGAGGAACTGCACTAGCTGTAATTGAAAACTAGTCTAATCACAGACTTACTGTGAAGGAATGCTTCTGAGGCCTGACCATTGAACTGCTAGCTTCCATCAATGCTGTTTCAATCCGGTTTGAATCAACACACTTTTCAGAGGGACAGCTTAGGTTGAGCTGTTTGAAGGCAGAGTTAGAGAGGCAAGGCTGAGATGGTTTGGTTATGTCCAGAGAAGGGATAGTGGATTTATTACAGAAAGGAAGTTAAAGATGGAGCTGCCATGGAGCAGGAAAAGAGGAAGACCCCAGAGAAAATTAACAGAAGCAGGTGAAGAGGACACAGCTTTATTTCCCAAGTTAAGTTGTTTCTAGTCAAAAGTCTTTTAGGATTCCACCAGAAATCTTTAATAGAAGAATTTATTTGATTCCTGAGAGTTTTCCCTTACAGGCCGTGTCCATATGTATTTGGTATTTTGCTAAACCATAGTCTTTTCCATGTTTTGTCCTTTCGTCCGCATGTAAGCCGCCTTTTAGGTCACTGAGAACTCTGTAAAGTTTCAGTAACGAAGCTGAAACTGAAGGTTGTCTCGCTGCCTCAAACGCGTGCGTCTTTAACTCCTTTCATGATGTCAGACTTCATAGGGTTATTATTTGCAGTTTTCTGATTGTTCAACATTTCTATACACCTGTTGCTTTGGCATCCTCTTGACATTCGTTTTTATTTTCCTGTGCACAGAGGTTTCTCAAAATGAATGAATAGGATTAAATAAGTTACATTTGTACTTCATGCTACTCTTTTACAAGCATATAAACTGAATGGTACACTGCTATTGGAGGTAACTCGGTGTCCTTTTTCTTTCTTTCTTTTTTTACCAGTTAACAATCAGTTAAACGATCTAGGTGGAAAAAACTTTGTCTAAAAACTACCTCTGCACTTCTGCATATAGACTAAAAGCTTCTTTTTTTCAGTGAACAGACTTTAAACAGTACATATTTATTGTAAATGGCCACTCTTTGCCCATCTGCATTACCTTCATAGTACTCCAGGGGGCCGTGGCCCACCCTCTGGAAATCACAGCAGTGAAAAGTTTACAGAACGAAAAACAAGCATCTGCATAGCTTTTCTGACACGGATACTGTGCATGACAAAATTTGCGCTAGAGGCTTGCAGATGCTGAGCCCATAGCAACCATACCAAATTGCATGCTTCATTACCTACAAGTAATTTCAGGAATTACAGATGCACATTACATGTGTTGTTTCGTGTTGTTTTGTATTAAATGTTCATCTATATTGATATATAGAATAATATAGTGTTCAGAGAGACACAACAAGCTGCAAAAGCTTATAAAAGGTAGTACCGAGCGTGACGGTCACAGTCAAATGTTTGCAAAAGTTTCTTCTGGCAAGTACACAACACACTGTGTTCACTTTGACTCAACCCTGTCAAAATAGAACATACTACACAACTAAGTACAACAAAGCTACTATTTAGTCACTAAGTTAGCACATAGTTGGTTATGCCTGTAGCAAAGCTCGGACAGCATGACATTCCAAGTTTGGAACCTCATTATTTTTGAGGGAAAGTTCCAAAAAGTTAACTTGTTTTTGGGATCTAAACTTTACATTATGTAAAAAACAAGCAATATTAAAAACATTTCGAAAGTCATCTTTTTCATTTTTCATATATTTATTTATTTTATAGGCCAGTTATTCGTCGATAATAAAAAAGATGTGGCTAATTTGATTTTAAATGCTATTAAATACTTTCCAGAAACGTTTCAATTCTTCAAACCCTTTACTTTGTGAGGTTACCAGGGGCCAGCTCAGTGTGTGGCACATTAGTATGGGTTCACCCTGTTCAAGTGTTATGTGGAGCATTATTAAGTGTTAATTTCACAGTGGCCATGTCTTTGCTCCACTCACCTCAGCTTTAAAAAGAGGCCTCCCAGACTGTGGAAAAAGGTTCTTAAAAACTGGGTGGACCCATGAAAAAGGGATCCACCCACCCCGGCAGGGCAAAACGTCACGGCCAATTTGTTAACCACAATTGATTTTGCATGGTGAAGAGTGATGGTCATGTGGAAGGTCTGAATATCGCCGACCCAGGCGAGGTTGCTGCCTCGATGCACTTTTTTGAGATGCAGAACCGGCATGAGAAAGTGTCTTTCACTAAGCCGAACACAATAAGCCGAGCGGCTGCTGTTACAAAATGCAGAAGGGCTTTCTGAATCTAATTTCACTTCCAGGGCCGAGCGTGACGGGCTGTATTCCCTATAGAAGTGTCGTTTTTTGTATATTTCTGAATGTTTATTTACTGATTTACGTGTAATTAAACGGAGACTCGGCTGCTGCGTGCGCTAACTTTTAATAAACGGGCCTTTACTTCAGCGTGGCCTCTGGTGTGGTTTGTATGTGTGTGGATAAAGCTGACCACTTCTTGTGGTTTCTATACCGTCACTGCCTGGAGCAAAGACCCAGTTTCCTGAGCTGGCTCACAGGGCGAGCCTTCAAAGGCAGCATCGAGCTAAGAGAGGGGGGGTGTGTGCAATCTGGCTGAACTCTCTCAAGATCACACAGTTGTTTGTGTGCTGGTATGAATATAAGTTCACAGCATGCCTGTGTGTGTGTGCCCATCAGGCTGCTACCCTGTATTCGCCTTCCTTCCTCCAACCTTGGACCCCCTCAGGACACAGATGCTGGCGTGGGCCCGGCTTTGAACCCGCTTCTTTAATTGTGGGATGCTCGGCCCGTGCAGCTGTGCACGCCGCCAGCGCTGCGCCGCAACGAGCGTCTCCCTCCCTGCGGCTCGTTTACTGTAAGGTGTTTTTAATTACTCCTCCCTCCCTCCACACTCTGCTTCTCTTTGTGTTCTGGCTGAGCTTCAGAAGTTTGGTAACAAAAATAATCCATTCACCCTTTCATCATTCTTCCCTCTTTTTGAACATCTGTGCTACTGTACCGCTCCAGCTTATTTTTAACTTTCCATAAGGCTCTTTCATTCCATCTCTACTGTAGTTTTGGCCTCTATCTCCTCCTTCGATGCACATTCAGTTCATTCATCGCTCAGTAGAGGCCATAAAAGGAGCCTTGTCATTTATTGAGAAATTAAATCACACAAACTGGCATTCATCCCGGGCACTGGTGCATGGAAATGATGTCACAGTTCATAAGCGTCATCTGGAAAAGTTTGCAATCAGTGTCACAAATTAAACCGCGGCGTCTTGGGGACGGATCCTTTCAAATTAGCAGCTGGAGAAGCCCCTGCTCCTCGTTAGGCCCATTTCCTGTGCTGGAAATGTAATTTGAGAAACCTGAACAGTGTTGTGAATTTGGATTCCAGCGCTCGATGCTCATCTTTCAGAGAATCCTGCTTCTGATAATGGCAAGAAAAGCCGGTCAGCTCCTGCGAGGACGCACCTGCCAATCTAGTATCTTATTTGTGGGCCTTACAAGAGAGGCGATAGCTTAATGGGTTTGATAGTGGGGAGGGAAAAAAAGCCCTCATCTTGAGAAACTAGAACCTCGACTCAGGCTGTTGAATGAGGTCTGAATGCCAAACAGTGGTCCTTTAAAAGCAGATAGGCATTCCTCTCCTTCGGCATGACTTGTTTGAAGCAGCGACAGCGCAGACGTGCTGAGAATTGCAGCTACGGAAAGTTTGTTGTGCCCCCTCCTCTGCTAAAAAAATACTCACCACGACCTACTTTTGACAGCCACATGCGTGTTTCTCTAAGCACTCCCTATTAATTAATGCATACCAAAGAAAATTCCAACTATTGATCGGAGGGTGCAGTTACTGCTGAGGAATCCCCAGTGGCACCTACACCATCCCTAACTGTACCCTGTTTACAGCTTGAAAGTGTTACTGGCACAGTTCAAAACGTGACCGGTGAAAGTCACACACACATACACACACACACACGCACACTAAAATCTATGCCTTACCTTTTTAACTTTATTCCTCCTTCTGCTCGTTTTTCTCCTCCTTTTATCTCTTTGTTCTTCTTTTCCCTGCGCGCTTGCTAAATTTGCCTTGTAAAAGTTGTGAGAGCTTTTGCCTGCAGTGAATCAGCTTCCCTAAAGTCACCCTGAGTCCACACTCCGTCTCTCACTGGCCTCTTTGTAAAGTTTCCCTTCTCTCCATCCGTATATATAAATAAATATAGATCTTCTGGTGCTGCCTGTGTACTCCGTCTCCACTGCTTTCTGCCTCTCATGCCTGTCTGCACACTCTCATCCCGGGTGTTGCTTATCTGGGAACCCAATCAGACTAAAGGACCAATTGTCCCTCTCTTTACAATCAGTGGGACGACCTCCCCCCGGCTCCAGCGTAATCCAGCAATCTACAACCTTGGTCAGTGGGTAAAGAAGAGGTGGAGAAAGAGGACGGGAGCGGTGGGGGCTCTGAGAGCAGGACAGGGGTGAAATTACAGCGGGAGGGGGTGCAAAATCAAGCAAGCAAAGGATGAAGGAATGAGATGAGAGAGGCATGAGGTAGGTGGTAGATAGTATGCTGTGGAGGGGCGTGCAACCCATTTCATTTCGGGGTATTTGCAAGTGAATAAAGTGGCCAGTGTGGAGTGGAACAACATGGGCTGAGTGTGGCAACTGCCAGGGGTGCAAGATCACCGACTAGAAGCAGAAAAAGGATGGAGGACAAAGAGGAAAATGCCGGCAAACCTGCCCTAATGCATTTTAATGAGCCGGTGTTGTACACCGCTGGATCTGTAGAGGGATTTATGGGCATGAAAGATGAAGCTTTACACTGCATTATATTCCGCTGCTCGCGCGGTCAGAATCAAAGCAATTAGTTTTCCAAATTGGCAAAAAGAGCCAGAAAAAAATCGGGCGCACACCAATACACACAATAAGCGCAGCGGAAGATTAGTCATGGTCACGGAGATCTGATCCCTGTTTAGCGCCGACAGAGAGAAAATAGGAGCGTTTCATTTAAGCAATCATGGAATTAATGCAGAGGTTCTCGGAGTCGAGTCTCTTGCATATTTCTCCTCAGGAGGAGGACAGCGAAAGTGAAATCATATTGGAGATGTACTCAACCATGTTTAAACAGAAATGAGAATATATTGCACAGAAAGTGTTCTAGGCAGCTACTTGGCTTCCTATTTTCCTCTTTCATTAGACAGTTTGAACTGTTTACATATTGTATTTACAGACAAAGTAAAGTGATGGAGCAAAGTTTATTCACTGTTCCCTCTGGGACAACTTTGCTCTTTTTTTTTCCACTCGACAGCCCTTTGACTCTCCTTAATCTTCCTGACAGAGTAATTTGGTGTGTTGTACAGCTCTAAAAATACAGATGAAGGCTGTTGTCACCCACTGAGCCAGATGGTCAAAAGGTTGCACTTCTCCATCGGTTCAATATGTTTTTTCTCTCTCCCACTCTGTCCCTTTCAATATGTCTTCTTTCTCATTTGGCAGGTCATTCTTCTTCACCACCGACCCCTCTCCCCTCCTTTGCTGCCCTCCCCGTCGTCTTTGTCTCTTTGAAGACCTGACTGGTTAGCGCCCCGGCCAATCTGTTAGCGAATGCTTGACTGGACCCCCGGAAAAAAGGCAGGGGCTCCCTCTTTGTTGGAGAGGGTGGCATTCAGGCACACTGAACAACACCTTCCATCACTGTGGCAGAGCAGAGGATAATAATTGGCAGAACAAATTGAACCTATAGGACTTATGGAAGGGCCTCTGTCTGTGTTGGTGGACGTCTGGAGAACAGGTCCCTTTGGGCACCCGTCACAATGGCCCAGACCTGCTGTTTAAATAGATTGGATACAGCTATGTTCTGCATGTTGCCAGACTTTGGTTCTGTTGTGATATGCGGGATGTTATAAGGATACGCTGCTTTTCATGCATCGGATAAAGTACGCCTTCTCTAAACGTTTTTAAAAGCCGTGACTTGTTGTGTCACCTCAGTGCACCTTTTGCCACAACTTACAACAAACGGAGGCGTCCGTGAGGAAAGCGGATGTCATGGTTGTTAGACTTGCAGAGAAGTTAAAGGTTTTGGTACCACACCACTAATCGCTTTATTGATTGTTTTTCAGTCTTTCGCCAATCTTTAGAGAAGCAACTCAAAACAAAGCTGCATTATTGATTCCCCCTTTTGTTGCTTGCCTTTTGTTTGTCTTACACACAATGACATGAAACAGTCACGCTAGCTTTGTTCTTGATTACAACATTTTACAATCAACTGACTGATGTTGCAATGAGTGACAACCCCCAAAATTATAAAATGCAGTTCATCAATTGGCCACCAGGAGCTGCTTTCAAAAGCGAGTCAACTCCTGACACCTATGCTAGCTAATATTCCACTGTAAAAAAAACCTTCTGGGGTGATTTTCTTATTCATCCAGTTTAAATTTGATCAAGTATTAAAGGTATGCAACGTAAAGCCCCGTCCACACTGGAAGCTGTTTGCTTGCTGCGCATCACTTTGTATCTAATGGCTGGTCTGCAGGCTCCATCTCATGTATTTACCACGCGGTCACATGTCGCACTTCATGTTTCTGTAATTATCGTGCAAACAAGAAAATAACTAAATATATTAGATATTACAAGAAGATATTATGAGCACTCACGGGATAGTGATTAGGTTGACTGCAATTGAATTTACAACCTGCCAGTTTGTTGTGTTGGGCGCACTGGTCTGCACAGCCCACAAACACCACATTGTGATGACACAAAACAACCAAAATAAATAAATAAATAAAACTAAATTTCTCTAAGTTAAAAATTACTGTTTGGTTTTAATAGGGATCTATTAGTGAAAGGGTTGGAGCCATAGGGGGTTCTTTTGTTGCTTTAGTAAAAGTGCTCTCCAGGAGAAATTGGCTGCATCCATCTCTCCGACTGCATCCACATAGCACTATCTTTTGTGTAAGCTGAAGAGCTCTGAAAACAACTTTTCAGATAGCCCAAATATTGTTTCTCAGAAAAAGCCTTGGGTTGGCTGGGAGACAGACATTCACAAGGCCACCCTTCTAGAAGGGAAAGTAGAGAAACCTACACTTGATAAACCCCAGTCTTCCACATTCAAACGGCTCTCAATACTGCCATGCTTCAGAGAGCCGATTAAAAAATAATGACAAAGCTAAGGTCCAAAAGAAGTGATGGAAAAAAAACCATCCCGGGAAGGTAAAACCCGGCTTCTTTACTCTCACTTATCATGTAACAGCTTTCAGACGGAATAACCTAAACAAAATTCAGCCAGTCTCACTCAGCGTATCGCTTTGCCACCACAACCACCACAAGGAGAAAGCATGAAAGAGGGTTAGGTTTCAGAAGAACAAGATGAGAGAGCTCCAGAGAGAGGGAGCAAAGCCTCCATGTCATCTAAGATAAGAGGAGCAGCTCTCTTCCCTTCTGCCCGAGATTAGAAATGGCATGGAGCAGAACAAGCCTGAGTACAAAGAGCTCTTCTGTGTCTTTGGGGTGCACAGTCAAGTCTTTTCATGTCTGATTTTGGCTACAGGTCGAAACAAAGGGAAATTAGACGGGGAAGTCATTGTGTCTTTGTAGAGAGAGAGAGACACACACATGTGAAGGAGGATTTGTGTACGCAAGCCAAGATGCGGTAACCTTTACAGTAATTGGTAGAAAAGACAAAAATAAGATGTTTGGCCTTAATTGTGAGGCATCAGAACTGGCACGGGGTTGAAAGAGTGAACCGTGACATTAAGTGCCTGCCTGCCTGGCTTCATCTGGCTTCCTGCTTCTCGTGCTATTGTCTCAGATAAGCTGCCTCTTTCCAGATCCTATTTTCCCGGTGACCTTTTCACCATTTCCCCCTCTCGTGTCTGAGCTACGCCACCTCAGCAGGGTATTGACTTTCACTCCACCGTGTTAAACTTCGCCATCCGTGTACGCCTTGTTGCAGAGACTCCGCTGTGACAAGAGGCGGCATTCTGTTTGGGATAAAAGGCTCCCCGGGCTGTTTGATGCGGTATTCCAGCGGGAATAGGCAGCGACTTGGCCTTGATGAGCTGACAGGAGCTGAGGAGACGTGGGGGCCTCGAAGCAGCAGGACCACAAACCTCAGGAACAGTGTGTCTTGCTCTGATATTTACCCCTCCTAGTTCTGTCATTCCCCATAACCCCTACTCTGCGCTCTGTCCCTGTGACCCTGTCTGCGAGGCTGAATTTGAAAGACTGGAGCAACTTTTTGAAGTAGGAATTAAGGATGAGCACATGCGTTGTGACTGATGCAAGCAACAAACGCGAATGCGTGCAGAACATGAAATGCCTGAATTATGAATGTATCCAGTCTGCAATGCTACTCCTGCTTAATTATTTACACGAAGTCAACAAAATGAATATAGAGAGAAGAAAGGAATACATGCTTCTCCAAATGAAAAATAGCATCCTGTTCAACAGTATTTTAAATCACACGCTGGCAGCATCTGGTAACTTTTGCATAAGCATAAAAAATATTTTCTTCAGGACTTAGTGGAAGTAATAGACACACATCTCTGGTTAAGAAACTCTCACGACGCTGATATAAGCATGTTTGACTGAGTCTGAGTCCTGATCTCCCCTTCCTAGAGTAAACAAAATAACAATTAGGTGTGCGCGCTCCATTACATGTTAGGTATGCCAGAGGCAGCGACACACATGACAAATGCCTTCTTTTGTAGGTTTCTGTGTGTTTGTAGTTCCACACTGATCCACTGATCAGAGAAAAAGAAATAGTTCAGCGGGGGTTTAAACAACACCATCCGCCACTTTCTTCCACCTTGAAACAAACTCTGCTTATCATAGTGATTCCTTTCAAAGCTTTGTGCATGAAAAGTTTTTCGGCAAAATAAATGTGATGAATCCAAAAAGAAGAACAGAGAATCATCTTCTAAAACTCGTGCTGCCCAGTCTTGGCTGAGTCCTCGTTAGTCGGAAAAAATGAAAACAATTAGGTTGGTTATGAAGTCCTCGCTGAAGTCTAACTCGTGAGGTCTGTCACAGCATAACATTTTTTTACCCCTGTCACCTGGCAACTAAAAGCTTCAAAGGACCCGTTCATCTCAGAAGGTCTACGACCCAAAAAACCCGAGCTGTGCCTGCTGCTTTATTCTAGCAAACAAACTGTCTGGAGGTCAGAGATTCTTGGGCTGCAGCAGTGAACCCTTTTACCAAAGAACATGACTTTTTCATCAGTGCACTTAACAATTAAGTTGAACAATCCCATTTTGGTGACTTTTCAAGTTGCTACGGAATAAAAAGGTACTCGCATATTTTATATGTGTGTCTGGTTTCGTGTAGCTTCGTAAGCAACAACCAGCCTCTGTGCAGCCTTGCAGTGTACGCCAAACGGCATTAGTGTCAAACTTCCTGCACGAAAAGGGGGGAATAACAAGACACAGAAAGAGGTAAAGCAAAGATAACAGTAAATAGTGATGCATCAGGGAGCTGAATAGAATAATCAGCTATAAATTAAGGGATAATCATTTCAGCTTGCATATAGTGAAGTCAAAAACCCTCATACAGATACGTTTTCAAAATTGTAAATGAGCTACCAGTCTACAACAGTCACATTTGGAGCTTAAAGGTAACACTAATGTGAGCATGCTGACATGCTCAGGCTAAAAATACCAGAAATGTCTGACTCACAGTCCAACTCAAGTCACAGGTTAATGTAATCTGTGATGTACAGAAAGAAAGTGATGGATTTTGTTGTCATGGGTTGGCAGTATTGCACAAACGAATAGGAATTAAAATCCACTGAGAAGTCAAGGAAGCACCCACACAGTCAAATCTGGTACAAATTCATCTTGTTTCACTAAAGTCTGACCAATAATGTATAAGAAGTAGCATTTACCTGGAACATGAGAAAGTGCCCATGAAAGTAGCAAATGCGACTTTGAAGACCCATTAGATGATCATTGTGTTTAAGTGTGAAATTCTTACCAATCCTGTGGGAGAAGTAATGTTTTGTGAATTGTGGACGGAGAAATGATGCCTCAACATCATAAGAGCTCATCAGCCATTTGGCTGGATGAGCTAAAAATTTCGTTAATTAGGTAGCCTACTAAGAGACCCTAAAATTTAGCTGAATAGCACAAAGTGGGCAAGCCCTAAGAACTCAACTATGAAGTGAGTGACTGAAGCGACTAACAATGGAATCAGAGAATATCACTGCTTGCCATAAAGGGGTAGCGACGCAATTGTAGATTGGGATACATGCTATAGTGAAACTATATTTGAATGGATGCACAATGTGAATCTGGGGTGAATCTGACTGAAAAATCAAGGATTCTACCCTCACCTTTGCTAATGACTTCCTGGTTTTTACGCTACATCCACTATTTTTACTGTCTGTAGTAAAAATGTTTTTATACATGTAATCAAAACTAAATTATCCTAAAATTTGGATGTTTATTCTCAAATTAACAAAACAACCCTAATCCGGAAAGGGACATGAATAGATATAACATTTTATGGTTATCAAGTAAAACAAAATCAGACAAAACAATAGTCACTCAAATTTATCCTCTGGGGAACATGAATGTCTGAAGCAGATATCATAGCAAGTCACTTAACAGTTGCTGAGGCATTTCTCTTCAAACCTGAAACCTATAATGGTGCGATTGGGAAATCATTAATAACCAAAATCATTAGGGTTCACCCTCAGGGAACATGAATGCCTGCACCAGATGTCATGGTTATCCATTAGAAAGTTGACCTTTCTATTCATGGCAAATGTCAACCTCACGCTTTAGGGAAAATGTTTTAGGATTACAGCACTCGTTAGGGTTCACCCTCTGGGAAACATGAATGTCTGAAGGTTGTGGGCTAAATGTCTGAAAGGATCACATTTTCATTGCTTGAGAAGCTACTTTGGCTAAAAAAGAAAAAAGTTATACAAGGACAAATTTAATCAGGACTATTTCATTTTTCAGTGTAGTTTTATGTATTTTGATCTAGGTGCTTCTTATAGGGGATTATTGGATTGCTGGGTTTCTATCTATAAAATAGGGCTTAAGCTTACCCTTTAAAAAGCCCTGACTTGACTATTGTTGTGAATTGGTGCCATATAAATAACTAATGAACTGAACTGTTAAGAAAGCTGCCAGTTTCTTTCTATTTCAGTGTTTTCAAGATAAATTAATATGTTTTTGGCAGTCTGTTTCAAGTTGTAGTAAAAGGTTTTCGTCTAGTGCATACTGAATAATGAATTTACTGTATAGTTACACTGATTCTTACAAAGAGAAAATGGAAATGGAGTGAACAGGCAAAAGTGAAGGAGCACAGGAAAACAAAGGTTTGAATTGCTGCTTGATTTGTGGAAAAATCTGGCACCTGTTTTTCTAGCTGATTTAATAATGTTCCCATTAACTCCATGCCCGGTTGACAGCCCAGAGGTTGGTGACAGACTGATCTGAAATCATCTCTCTCTGACTCTTCTAATGACTCTACTGCTGTGCTCAGCTCTACACCGAAGTAGGAATCTTGGCTGCTGAATCTGGAGGCGTAGCTGAGACGTCACCATCAGTTATTTCTAAAGAACAGTCTTTTTTGTGCTGGATAGACAGTCACGGAAAGCAAAGAAGAATTTTAATACCTCATTTACGGAGCTGACAAAAACTATCCTGAGATGTGGAAACATTTGGTATTGACGAACGTGGAAGAAAGCAGGCCTACGCTCCTAAAGTCGGAATTAATTGCCATCACTTTGGCTGCTGCCATGAATGAGTTTTTTTAAACGTGACACTTCTGGGACTGATCTGGGCATTATCTGTAGGAAAATTAATCCAGAATTCATCCCCCGTGCACAAAATGGGATAATATGATACCTCCACATTCACCAAATTGACATCTTCGAATTTAGTAGAGATGCTGAAGTCAGGGAGTCAGTGTGACATGGCCTATTAGGAGCAGAATCGTGTCAGGGGACTTTAAAGTTCATTGGAAAAGTGACCCAGTGCATGAACCATCTCCTAAACCTATTTCAGTAATGGTAAATTTCATTACCTATAAACAGATCAAGAAAATGCATCACAGAAAGCACATCAAAGTTTTGCACTTTATTCTGCAGTGGAGCATCAATCGAATCTAATCTCAAAGAGCTCCAAAACTCATCTGTGTTTATAATCGAGCAGTCAGGAAGCCCATCAGCTAGTCTGCCTACTCATGGCAGCAGCGGCGTTTTTCAGGGCATCTAGGTTCTAGACGTCCTGTTTGCTTAGTAATGGAGATAAATATGAAAGAGCTAATAAAAACCTAAATTACTATCAGATGACACAAGTGGTTTTGAGATTTGCTTCTGGTGAAAACATTCACACTCATAATACACTTTTCTTTTTGCAAGAATGCAAATTGAAAGACTACAAGTGGAATCAGAAAACTTAGGGAACTAAAATTCTTGGCCATTTCCCTTTGATTCCACCATATATGCAGATATTCATTCATAGAGATGCTTTTTTTTGAGAATTATTTGGGGATTTTAGGATAGTAAAGAGGATAGACAGTGGGCAGAAGGTAAGGGTGATGACAAACCTAAACTCTGGCAGTGAGAACTTTGACCTTTTAGTGAGCTGTAGGTTTGCTATAATGACATGCTCTAGTCTAGACTGTTTTTTCTGTAGTATAAAGATTACAAAGATTACTTTTTTCTCTCTTGGCTCTTGATGGAGGCGGTCGCACTTTTCTCCGTCTCCCTCTCCCTTATCTTTATCTTGCTTGGCTTCTCATGTCTTTTGTATAGTCTCGCTTATTCTCTAACCCTCAAAGAGTTTCTCAGTCTTGTTCTCTAAAACCTAAAGAAGAATTATGGATTTGATCAAGTGGTCTCATAATGAATTGACACCCTCCTGGGCTTGGGAGAGCCCGATTGTCCTGCGGAGACGTTTGCTGCCGGGTACTCGATGCTCGGTTGCATCGTGTGTCTGGCGACACTCTCGATGGAAGACTTCGAACGACATCTACCAATTCGGAACCACGATAACAGAGTTCTGGCTGACTGGAGCTGGCTCGGACCTGGCTTAGAACAAGAAGCGGCTACAGCTGTTCAAAATCTCATAAGGCTGGCTGACATAATAGACGATTGGCAGGGCTGTGAGCACTCAGACTGTGTTTTGAAAGCAATATGGATAAGATCTTGGAGAAGAACAACGGGAATTGAGAGACTTGGTGACCAGTGATGGACATTAGTCCAACTGTAAAAATTGGATGCAGTTGTTTGCACTAAACCCAAACATTCACCATCTTCACTCATGCGGCTATCCCACTGGCACCAGCTGAAGGCCTGCCAAGGTCGAAGCTGGCTGGAACAACAAAATTCTCCATGATAACAGGATTGTTGTCAGAACTCTTTGTTCCTCCTTCAAGGCCATCCGCGTTGATCGGAGATTGTTGACTTGTGCTTAACCGGGTGAAGGGACACTTTCTCTCGGTTGAACACAAAACACACACACACACACACACACACACACACACACACACACACACACACACACACACACACATATGCATGTACACTGACACAGACCTTAACTCACTCCCCCATCCCCTCCAAATGCCTTCGAAGCTTATGTCTTCTATGTTGTGAGATGTGATGATTCATGTGCTGAGGTGTTTTTTTTCTGTTCTCAAACTGATCCCCCTGTTGGAGCTCAGTCTGGGGGGAGTTCTTTTTTCTCCTCGTCTTTCCTCGTGTTGTGCATTTTCCATTGTTATACCTCTCTGACCTGTCTTCCCCATGTGATGTTTGTGTAATGTATGTATGGTGGGAAGGGTAAGATGGCGCTGGCAAGGCTGGCAGCCTTAACCCAATTTCCCTCAGGATGAATAAAGTATTATCAATCAATCAATCAAAGACCCTGTCCTAAGAGTTTATCTTGGGTTTCTTTCACTCTTTTGTTTTCTAGGGTAGTTACCACACTTGTTATATCCTACTTTAAAGGATTGCTTCCTAGCTGACTTCACCACAAGGTTTTGTCTTGTTCTGTGTGTAATCCCCTGTTCATCGTCAGTGTTTATGTAGTGCTGTCTTTGTCACAACGTCTGCTCCTGGTCAAATTCCTTTGTGGCGTTTGGATTCCCTTATTGGACTCTGATGCACTGGACTTATTAAACATAATTTTCTGTTGCACATTCTGCAAATAAAAGTTGAGTCTTTGCTGAATTCCAGTGTTTTCACCTTGCTGCAGTGACAATGAAATTACATGCAGGTGTAGTTCCAGGAGTAAAAGGACAGAAGTAGTTAGGTTTTTAATTTATTTGGTGTTCAGAATTGTCTAATATGTTGTAAGAGATGTGAGCTGGCAATAGATAGTGCATTGAATTTTATCCTAATTTAATAAGTGCTTTGTGAAGATGATTTATAGGAGTTCAGTAACACTGTCCGTCCAAATCCAATTGCAAATGAACACCTTTGACAGACAGTGATAGTAATAGATGATGCACCTTCCATCAAAGCCAAGTGGTCTCCTACGAAGCAGAAAAACATGCAGGTTATTGTGTCTTTGTTGTCCCCTTTGTGTCTTTTGTTACTTCAACAACCACTGCAGATCTTCGACTCTGTCCAGTAATCAATTAGACTATCTCTGCTTTCAGAGCAGCTCTGTCGTCAAAAAATATTTTAAGCAGAAAAACAAACTCAAGTTTGCTCATAGGTTCAATTCCCTCTACAGCCAGCATACGTCCATCAACAACCATGCATGCTTTCAAAGTGTCCTTGAGCGAGACAACAAATCCCAAACTGCTCAGTCATGCAATATAAATCACTGTGAGCTCCAAAGGATTTCATTATCTCCATCCCTGATATTATGAAGCTTAAAAAAAAAAGAAGAACACAAAAGAATGTGTGTTTCTTGTTTCAAAGGGGCACTGGGCTATTTTTTTTAAGTCAAGTGGAAATGAGGACAGCTGAACCTTGCGTAGCAGCCTTCAGTCCCGGAGCATGCCAGACTAAGCTTTGTGCCGTAATGCAAGGCGACACGCCAGCGGAGATGAGAGGAAAAACAATTGCCAGAGCTTTTGTTACATCTTTAATTACAGGCTTTGTGTTTGTCTTGTTCAAATGAGGGGCCGTGGGGAGAGGGAGCTCTCTCAGTCTGATCTGCTCTAGTGTCTGTGAAATAAATGGCCAGACCTCCCATCTCCTCAGGACTTATGGACCTCTAACAAAACATGTGGCTGGAGAAAAGGTGCTGTATATCAGAGCAAGCACATTCTGCAACTCATCTGCTTCGGTGCATTTTGCATGTATCTGCCAACCTTCGCAAGAAGAGAGTGTGGATGTCTTCGAAGATGAGGCCCGTACGGAGAATCCACGAGGCGTGAAGTGTACCTGGGAAGCTGGGGAGGAAAAGGCATGCAACGGAGTCCCCTGTATATGCAGCGAGTTCTGGGATATGCCTGCTGGGACAGGTATGGGATCTGGGTTGCTGCCGCCAGTTAGATCCAAGGCTGTGTCAAAGCAGATGATCCGCGGCTAATATGCAGCTGTCTGACCCTATTACCTTTAGTGGCAGGGCCAGGCTGCTGCCGCCCAGAACTCCTCCAGTCCTTCAGAAGAAATTTAGTCTGGCTTTTAAACATGCCTCCATGCATTCTGTACAAGTATTTGTATCTGGATTGAGGGTTTAAAGTGGACTGCAAGCGATCCAGAACATCACCTTCAGTTAATGAGTAATTAAATCTGATAGACAGTTTAATACAAAACATTGTCAAGCAAGCCATGGAGGAAATAATGTCACCCCAGGCCCTACCTGCACACTCTGCACATCAGTTTTTAACTTCTCATCCCTGTCATGTGTCAGCAGACGCAAATATAACGAAAGTTGTGGTCACAGAACCTCAGAATCTAGCTAGCTCAGCACACAACAAAGACACAGTTGCTGTATTTTCCAAGGAGAACTAAAGGTTAATAGGGGTCGGGGTTACTTTAACTCGCAGCAAACTTTTAAGCGTTTTATATCAGATTTGACTAGATAGACCTGCACATGCAGATTTATGTCCCGCTGAAAGCAAGTTAATTTAGTGCTTTAAATGCATTTTAGTATGGGTGCTGAGTAACAAGAGTAGCTTCTGGAAGGGCTCTGTTAGGGGACATTAATTTGAATTTAAGTTGGCGATGTTCTTTAGTAACGCTTGCCAAGATCCACCTTTATACTAGTTTTTACTGGGAACTGCAGGGGCTGGAAACTAGATGTGATTGCTCATGTAACACCTGCATACATCATGCAGTATATATTGTAGAATCCACAAGGATTAGTAAACCCCAGAGCAGCAGCAGCAGAAACAGCACAGGTCAGCCTGCCAACAAAGAAAATCGGCTGGAGCTAACAGTGGGAATTATCTTGCTTATTTGTAATTCAATTTTCAATTAAATTTTATTTATATTTATATACACCAAATCACCACAACATGTGCCTTAAGGGACTTTATATTGTCAGGTAAAGACCCGACAAAATACAGAGGAAACCTCAACAATCATATGAGCCCCTATGAGCACGGAGGTACAAACAGTGGGAAAGGCAACAGTGGGGAAAGAAGAAAAAACTCCCTCCATTTGTAAGTACCCAATTCTCTCTCAACTTTAACTTCTACTTGCTCCAAAAAATCTCTTTTGTTTAATTTGTTTGGGTTACATACATAAGAAAATGTGGTCTCGCTCTGCATCTACACTCAAAGCTTTGAAGCTGATCGTTCATTCCAGACTAACTTGGGTTGGTAACCCTCTAATATAATTACTACCAGGTCATATGTCAATCAATGGTATCCTGTGTGCCAAGACTTTGCAGAACATATTCCAAAAGCCAAATAAGTCTCCTTTTAGATATCATACAGTTGTGATTATGGCTGGATACTGAACTCAAAAATCCATGATAACTTCACTAACTCTTCCTAAGCAAAACCGAGCATTCAACTACACCCAAAGAAAATAAGTCAAGTCACAGGAGATGGACAAAAAGCTGAAAAACTCAAAAAAAACCCCAACAAACGGAAGTGCAAAAAAAGAAGACAAAGAAAGTAACAAAGATATGGAATAACACAAACATTAAAGAAGAAACCAGGAGCATGAGACTTTCCCAGTTCATATTTGTAAATGAAAAACTACTACTAATTTGAATTTAAAATTTGAAAATTTGAATTTGAATTTGAATTTAATAAGGTCACATCAGTGAGATTCAACAACTATGCCTATTGCTAAAGTGACTGCTAGCAAACTTGCATCCAAACAGATTGAAGATATTTGAGCATTTATCAGCTAAAGAGAGAGATATCCCCCTTAGGAGTTCTATAATCTGATAGTGATAAAAGAAGAGTGAATGTTGGACTCAAACACGACTCCTTACGAATGAACGATAATGGGGCCCATTCTGCGCTTGATATGTAATCAACCCACTATTAGCCGACGTGTTCACCTGTGCTGTAAGATCAACTTTCAGGTTTAAAGTGCAGTATCAGCTGACATATTTAAGCAGATCTCCGTGTCAAAAATCAAGTTTAGAGACCATCAACCTTGGGTCAGGGGGTATTCCATTACTGAAAAACATTGCGCACGGAGTGGGAGTAATGGGCAGTTAATGAGAGAACCAGCACCTCGTCTTTGCCCCTGGGGCCTTGTAGCAGATTAATGCAGCCATGCTAGATGCTATAACTAACTAATGAGCACCTTTTAAAAATACATTTATCTGCTTTGTATTGTGGCTGATGCAAAACCTTGCAAACTTTAAACCTTTAAAACTCCATACAACTCAAAATGAACTGAGACTAGACTTCTCCCTAATAATCTAGAGGAAACCAAGAACTTTAGCTACATATTTAATCCCCTTTTTCCAAGTGCAATTTCAGTCATGTTTTTTGTAGTAAATTAAAGAAACCCGTCACACACATTTCTTCAGAGAAATGTATATTCCTTGACCAGTTGGAGAGTAGTCTCTGAATCATGTTGGCAGTTCCAATACTAAAGTAGCTGGTTTGTTTCCATGGTAGCAATCCCATAAAAGGTTCCTTCAGTTCTGGAGAAGAAAGAAAGACTTCCAAGTCCAGTTGTCTTCAACTGAAGTACTCTGTGGTTTTCCCTGTGTCTCATCAGCTCTGTCTCTAAATAGTCTTACGTCTTCCCTCATCAGTTGTCAGATAATCTGTTTTTCTTCTATGTTTCCATCTATTACTGCTTGTGCTTATTGATTTTTTTGGTCACTGTGTAATTGTATGCATATGGATCGACCATAAACAGTTCGCCTTCTAGTTGCTAACTTACGACTTACTTTTTTCACAAAGGTGATGGAGAGTACAAAGTTAGATTAGATTTTTCGGGAGGTGGAGTTGACATCTCAGTCCTTGTGGAACCTGCGTGAAGCATGATGACCTGACTGTTTTGGTGCCTTCTGTTTTGTCTCCACAAAAGACCTCAAGGACAGTCCAGCTGCTTACTGATAAAAGCTAACTGTGGCTCCTTGTCAGGTGTTGGGTAGACAGACAGCTTACAGAACCATCGTGTTTGTCCTCAGCTGTCCACTCCTTGATTTTGAGTATTTAAATAATAAATAGCATCTGTATTTTATGCCACTATAAACTTATAGATGATAGACAGGGTACACCTGGTCTCACTGCAATTCCCAGTTATTATAAATCCTTTTTCTCTAAAAGACAGAACGTGGGAGAAAATGTCTCTATAAAAAGAGAAT